TCTATCGCATCAGCTCGCCGCTCGCAAACGTCAGGCTCCAATGAAGGCCTACGTCCAGGGCTTCCTATTCCTTTGCCGGCATGGTTGGGCATCAAAGGTCTTCAGCGTCGGAAGACCGCTCATGATTTCGAGAGTCCCACGGTATGACTCGGCGGGCCACATCTTGTCACAGAGAATTTGGGTTCGTGCAAGCAGCGGTTGGTGAATGCAGGCAAATTGCATACCAACAGGTCGCTAGGTACCCGAGTTCAGTAATGAATAACCGTTACTCCATCAACAATTTTACCGACAGCGCGCTCGCCAAGTGGTCGTTACTAGCTCATGAGATTGCGATATACGGTATATGAAGACACCGCATAGTGAGCAGTCAAGAGTTCGTTCGTCGGGATCGGTGTCCAGATTATTCCTCACTGCACGATGGGTTGTTCCAGTCCACGACACCGGGCAACGCGGTGGTTGCTAAGGTCGCCATGGTTGCAGACTTGATGTCGTTCAAGCCTTGCGTGGGCGCTTCGACTCTGGCTCAGAGAAGAGCCGCATCGATCCATCGGTAGCCACAGGTACGCTCCGTTCCTTCGCTTGCTTGACGTGGCGGCCTGGTCCTTAGGTGGTCGCCTGACGGACCGACCAATCGACTCCAACCTTGGCATGTGAATATCCAACATTCGCGTCGTGTTGGAAAGCGGATTGCCATTGTCGTGATGATAAAGCACATGGACCTGCAGATCAGTTCCAGATGGGGAGGCTCAGACGGATATGACGGCTCCCGGCAAAAATTGCCCGGTCACGGTCAGGGCCAGGGTACGAGGAACGTCATAGGTGTCGTGGTGAAGTGCGCATCTCCGGGTGGTGTTGTAATATGCGGGCGAGCAGGATGCGGTACCGTGGATGTGGCGCGGCGTACCAGTGAGAAGCTCTCACATACGCACCTCCCCTCACCCTTCTTTACCTTTTCACGAAGCAGCCGTGGCGATCACACACAAAGCGTCCGAATCGCTCAATATCAGACGACAACTCACATATCCTTCGGCCATCGATTCGCGTACCCTGTGGTCTACCAACGCCGTTCAAGCAAAAGCAATTATGTCCGCCGACCAGGACCACCACCCTCAGCCATCGTCTTTGAGCGACAAGACGAACATGGGCGACGCGTCGCGACCCACGACGGAAGACGGAGAGAACCAGATGCACCGCGACATTGTAGGAACAGGACTGCGAAGCGAGAGATCGAAGTGGTGGCTCAAATTCATCTTCTCCTCTATGGTGACCGCGCTCGCCATCTTCCTGCGCAACAGGTTCTTTGGCAATCCTTGGCGGTCCTCACCCCCCTGCGAAGCCCGGAGTTGCTGAAGATATGCGGTGGAGACTATCAAGCACAGTGAGGATGGGGAAAGGCGGACGTGGCTGGTTGTCGCGACGCGGTGTGGACGGGCGGAACGCGTGTACACAACCTGTTGTTAGCTTCAAATCAATGGCAGCGCATCGCGCATGCCTGAGTATGTTGCATAGTCGCGCTATCGTATGTGCGCATCAAGCACCGAGTCGGGAGCGTAATGGTCGTGAACGTGGTAGTCGTGAATGAGTTGGCCTGGCGGTAGGCGCTTGGACTCGGCACGGCAGATAAACCTCCGGGCTGCCCTCTCGCCGCCAGCACCAGCGCCAACGCCCCGTGCCGCACCCCGCAATTGCTTGCGCGTGGCCCGCAGCGCCCATCGTCATCTTCAAAGCATTGTACGCAAAGATAGACGGGCGAGCGCGCCATGGCCACACGGGCAAGAGCTTCGTCTGCCTTCGCCTTGTCGCTGCCCGTAGCCCCCGAACGAAGCCTCACCCAGCAGCTCGTCGCATGCTCTTCCAGCCCAGACAGCATCCTCGATAACCTCCGCGCCGGCGGCATATTCGGCGCATACCTACCGGAGTCCAACGCGTCATCTGCGGTGTCTCTGCGCCCGATGCCGTCGTATGATATCGGCATGACGGTCGATGGGGCGATGGGACTAGCCCAAGGAGGTCGATGCGGTCGCGTTGCCGGCGACAGGATGCTTGGTGGATGAAAGCGGGCTTCCTTCTGCCTCGATTCCAGGAAACAGGTCGATATCTAGCGATGCGATCTATCTCGCTACACCCTCGCTAATCAAGTTGTCTCTGCCATGAGCGCAATACGCTACGCGCGACACCCACACGACACCCACATGCGCATCGTACACACAGGCGAGGATGGTATCAGGCCTATGGCTACTTGGCATTGCGACCTGTCTGACAGCACGAGATTGACCGCTTCAACATCATTGTACCAGCACACGCGTCGTGCCTGCCCCCTCGCGACCCTCCACTTATCGACCATCACGATCCATCACTCCGCGATACCATACTCATTACGAAGCGACAGCGCGGCGGAGTGGTACTAGGATTGGTCTCTACACATATATGGTCGATCGAGCTTGCAGCTCTTAGAGCCGACGTCACGCGGCCTCATCGAGCGGAGCTTGAGACCGATGGCATCGCGAACGAAGGCATGTATGCGCACATACTCATTGGTTGAGACAGCATTGGGTAGTGGGAGGTATTGTGGACAGTTGACTTGTTTCTCTCCAGAGCACCCGAAATCGACTGCGACAATATCCGGCCGGCTCTGATCGAGGAGAAAGAGTCTACAGTGGGTACCTCAATCCGCCATACGCTGTGTAAGGTAGGGCATGTGCGCCGCATATGGCCGAAGCCTATGGTCATTGATCGGCTTTGGCCTCACCACCACCGCATGCCGCCCAGCCTACATCACCTCTCCGACGCGATATCGTGTCTCGACTCCACGTTCCTACGAAGTCGCCTCCAAGCGCCCTCGATCGACCTCCCACTACGTTGTACTTCGCCCCGTGTCTATCCGTCCCACAGGATCACCATGCAACATTGCGAATCCCCAGAATCACCACGGCGATCGCACCGCACAGCCAGAGTACAGCAAAGATCATTTTACAAGGGGTACACTCGTCGGAGCTGCGATTGTTGCGTTGTGAGTCCGCGTAGTGCGCCGTTGGAAACGCTCCGTAATCCATGATGTGTTGGGCTGAAGTGTAGACTGGTGCGCCCATCGCTGGATCTGTCGCCGGGTCGGAGTAGCTGGGTGGCTGATCATCCATCGCAGACTTGATGGTGCGTGAGTTATCTCAGACAAGGCTTGACGTTCGATTGACACTTACATCGTTGACGTTCTTACGCGCAGGATGCGAAAGTCTCCAGGATAAGTTGCGAGTTGCGGCGCTTTGGTGTTGTAGGTACGATTCGTTCGAGGGCAATGAGCTCCGTGACCAGACGCGCCAGCAATGCGTAGTTGGAAGGTAGACGCATTGATGTTAGGACTACTTACTTGAGTGGCAGTGCACCGTCTGAAACGACCTTGGCTTCGATGCCGCCAACAATCCCGACAACACGGCCCGCATAGCTGTGCCACACATCGCCCCAACCTCGAACGATCTGACATAAGCCATACGCCTTCTCCACCTCCGATCCCTTCGTGTTCCAAAGAAAGTATCACCAACAAGTTTCTGGACATGAGGTAAATCAGTTTTAGCACACATCTGCCGCGCCGTTGTTCCGGACGATCCTTCAAGGCACACTATGCTCTTCTTCGTACGGCGCGCGTCAGCTTGCACCTTCCGTACGCCCGCGAGGAACATGTCCAACAAGGGTAATGAGAAGCATCGTGATGACATGCGATCTCAAGGTTGTTGTTTAGGTCTCTGTGCCGCGAGTGGAAGCGTACGCCCGGTTCGATATTGGGGCTTTCGTGTTCCCTAAGGCAGACTCACGATACAGCTGTCAACTTCCCAGTCCGACCAGAGCGTCTTGCACCGGCGTCTACACAGGCGGCCTAAGGTGAACCTGTGGTATAAGAGTGCGCATCTCATCAGAAGTCTCGAGTATCAAACCCGAGCCTACCTTCATAGTCACATCCTTGCCGACAATGCTATTGATTCTGTTCGCAGTTTATATTTTATCTGCGAAGATAACAAGTGCCTATCCTGCCGACGCTTTCTCCAATGATTCATCTCCCCACGTCTTCAAGCGGAACCCATGTGATGGAAAGGATGCCGAACCTATTCTGTATCACGATTACAAGAACGATGTCTGCCCACCGCCTATGGGCATCGAATCGCCAGGCGTATGTCGCATGAAGAAGCAGCAGAACGAAGGGTCCTGGTGGAACCTGTTTCGGGGCTTCTATTGTAGCGGATTTTGCGAGGAGAACGCAGGTATTCATGACGAAAGTCTGATTCCGGCTAACTTGGGATTATAGGTGCGGTTCTTCTACGGTTAGGAGAGTATGTTCCTCTCGAACCTCTATTGCTATGGTCCCATGACATGTGGTATCACCGATACGACTACTACGGCTTGGGCGTACACTATCAACTTCCCGTTGAGTGGCAAGATAGCAGATTTCAGCGGTGGCGTCACTGGTGGCGTATCGAACACGAAAACTGTAGCTAAAGCTATGAACAAAGCCGTAAAGCTGGAGCAGAACGAGTGTAGGTACTTTGTATGGATCTCTATACTCAAAGAATCTTAGTAAGCATGCTCCAATCCGTCTCTTACTCGTTGCGAAAGTGACAAGCAAGTCTGATACAAACAAGATTTGTGGCTAACATTGTGTAGTGGTACTTATACAGGCGATGGCAAATATCTGGACGTCGCTCCCGGACATCCGAAGGGAACATGTGTTGATGGAACGAGCAAGCCCGATACATGCATCACAGTGCCAAATGCCGCCCGAGGTAGCGACAACGATCCTTGGGGTATTACTGTACTCGTCCGAGTGGACTGCACGACGCATGCACCGCTCCCATCTGATTGGTATGCACTCTCACCTCTAACTGCGTTAGACAATGACTGATTGCGATACAGTAAGCGATACCTTTGCGAGACTACTCGCTACTACTCTCTCCACGACGTTATGAGATCTTTGTGCTGACTGTATCGGTTTAGTTCAAGATCCAGCCTACAACATGCCGGATGTCCCGCTCGATCGGGGCGTGTACAACTCCTTCTCAGAGACCTTCGAGAACGATAATGCCGACATGATGTACGGTCAGTCGTCCGAGATCGACTGCTCCGTGGGCGATGCCTCCAAGCTAGCGCAACAAGAGGACTGCTACGCAGCCCTTGCGACAGGCATGATGCATCCAGTCGTGGGCCTCCTACAGGGAAGAAAAGGTGGACAATGGTGGGCGTCGGTAAATTTCACGCTCGACTCAGACGCTTCGCCAGATGCTGACTTGACTGCAGTACGTACACACTTGCGCTTTTCAAATTGAGTACGAACAAGACTGGACGGAGGATTGCCTTGTAGGTCTTACGGAAGCTCTGAAGGCTGCATCGGGCATCCTGAATACTTGCAAGGCCCAGGATAACGGCGGTGTGGGCGGTTCCCGAAAGATCCGCAACGACGGAAAATGCAATGCGACGCTTCGCCTCGCCAACACTGAGGGCAGAGAACCACCGCAGGACATGAGTCCTTTGGTTCCTAGGCATTGATCTGACTGCGGGATGAATGCCGTCAATTGTATGCATGCGTTGAGCGGATGCGCATGTTGGCGCGACCGTTGCTGAGACTGTTGCTGGATCTGGGTAGCCTGGTAGCGGATTACCAACGAGCGGCTGGGGAGTTGATGGGCGACAAGGCAATTGATCCGTCATCGCAAAAGCTTACCTCGGATGCTTGGGTTGCGATTAATCGGTCATGGGTGGTACGGTGCTCTTTCGAGAATTGCGCGCGTACGACAGGTGCTAGCAAGAGCAATTGTACGTATTTTAAATTTATTAAGTTTGTGTTATAAGCAATAGTATATATATATAAGAATAAGTATAAAGTATAAAGTCTTTATAGCTTACTTATAATTAAATAGTAAATTTTATAAAGCTTAGCGTACTAAGCTTTTAGCTAATATTTTAATATTTTTAATTTTTTACTAAAAAGATACTTTAGTACTATATACTATTAATATAATACTTATTTATAAGTATTTATTAAAACTTTTATATATAAAAAGTTAGTACTAAGATACTTTAGTACTATATATACTAGGCGTAATAAATAAAAGTTTTTAAAAGTATTCTTTTATTCTCTAATATTTACTTTACTTACTATATTAGTAAGTACCTTTTTTTATATACTATATATTACTAACAAAATAAATTATATTAATATACTTTAATAACTACTAGGTAATTTTTTTAAATTAACTTTTTAATAACTTTAACTTATTACTTACTTTTACTTTTCTTTTTAATAATAAAATACTATCTTTATAGTTATAAAATAAAATTAAAAAAATTTATAGCTATAATATTAGTAGTAATTTTATATTTATATTTAGTATTAATATTACTAGTATTAAACTAGAAGTTATTAATAATATAGTTATAGCTTAAATTAATATTAAGAAAGCTTATATTATTTTAAAAACTAGCTAGCTTATTTTTTTATAAGTTTTTTATTTTAACTAAAGTAACTATAAAAATAAAGTATTAGAAAAAATTATTAAGTAGTAGCTATTAGCTCTTAATAACTTTTAATATAAAATAAGTATAAAAAAAATTATAAGTAAAAAAAATATAAACTTTATAAAGAAGCTATTTAAAAAAAAGAATAAAGCTTAGATAGCTAAAGTACTATATTAATATACTTAAGTTTAGTATAAGTATAGAAATAAGTAAATAGCGTATATTACGCTAAAAATAAGTAAAAGAATATTAGTAATAGTATTATTAGTTAATTAAAACTATTAAATAAGTGTTAATTTGTCTTTTAGAGTTTCTTTTAACTAGGCGCTACTACTAAGAGCGATTGTACAAGGCACGCGTCTTTGCTCTCTTTAACTGCGCCGCAACTACGCCTTGTTTGTAGAGCTCTAGCAAAACATAAAATAGCTGTATAATTACATTCTTACCTGCATAACATGTTCGTAGCTGTCCGAACTCTGTCTGCTGCACATCAAATGAAATCTTCGGTTAACTCGAGCAGACTGGCATCCTCTCTCGTCTACCTGTTAATTCGTTTCTGAAATGGCGCATTTTGTTAGTGCGACGTCTGGAAATTTCGCGCGCGCAGGATACGGCGCAGGCCCCTGGTGCTCGCTACATTATCGCCTCGTTTGTCAGTGATTTGTGCTTTCAGCACACTCTTACAGGGCGCGCGGTACAACCTGTCAACATTACACCACATGAGCATTTGCTTGAAGGTTACATCCGATAGGTCGCAAGGTCTGTTGAAGTGCCGCTAGTCTCGATTTTACAAGCCCTACGAAAATCTCAAGACCTTGTATATCTTTGCCTGCACTGCACTTTCTAGCGCGGAATAGAGGTTCTCGTGCGCCCGTTAGGTAGTGCAAATACTATACACTTCGCTTGATACTCTAAAAGACTTTCCCCACCATACCGTTTCTGCGCATCATGGCTTCCTTCGTCTCGAGAGCATCGTACGAAGTCGCACTGTAGATGTCTTCGGAGAAGCCTAGGAGATCTTCCAGGCTGATCACCTCGTCAGGGGCCTTCCAGCCCAGCTCTGTTGGCAAGCGCTCGTTCTCTGCACAACGATTAGCACAGGATTGCGGTACACAAGGGTCAGATACCTACCGAAGAAGTACTCCACCAGGTCTCGCCTCGCAGTCTTCTCGGTCTTGTTGCCGAAGACGAGCATGTACCCAGCGCCTTCACCCGCGCTGAAGTCCGCGGCCAACTCTGACAAAGCAAATTTGGGGTTGTACTTCACCGAATCGATCATACGGGCGAGACGGGCGTTGGCGGCCATTTGGATGTCGATGAGGTCGTCTGTCCAGTAGGCACGGGTCTTATCGTAGATGGTGGAGTTGAAGGAGATGGCATCGTCGTTGAAGTATTTGTCCGAGCGACTAGATTGCGACGTTGTGTTAGTCATACGCTTCCTGGTATAGGTCCTCAAAGCGACCAGCGGACTCAGCGAAGGGCTGCAGGGCTTACCTCAGACTAGCGTCATGCTCCAAAATGTTGTGGTTGCCGAGCGTGTCGAGCCCCCAAGTCGTGGTGTTCGGGCCGGGGTTCGTCGTCAGCGCAAAGTTGTACAGCAACTCTGAGATGTCATCGCCGACGTTGATGGCCTTTCCAAGGGCGTGTTTGATCTGGGGGAGCGTGAAGTTGCGCCCTTCGCGAGGGAGGAAACCGTGGTTCGCCAGTGTGTTGAGCATAGGGCATGGGCCTCGTGCTAGAACATGTTAGTAATTGCTGCAGTAAGCAGTTGTGGAGACACCGAACGTACATTCTCCTAGACCAGCTGGGTGCCAGCTCGCGAGAGAGCCTTAGGCGTTAACGACGCCAACGCTTGCAAGCGTGACAACGACGAGAAATAGGATGCGCGTCATGTTGTTCGATAGGAAGAAAAGATATGTAAGGTGGGTAACTTAGGGAAGTCGTAAGTTGTTGCTATCGCACTGTCGCACTGTCGCACTGAATGTAGACGGGGTGCACGAATCCAACCAGAACACGCTTGAGATCTGTCTTATACTTTCTCCATCACAGTAAGATAAGCAAACTCGCATAGCCCGCACTCGGTCATCTTGGCCTGAGCTAGAGTCGCTCTATCCTAAATGGCATCTCAAACATTCCTATAGTGATACTTACGTGGACTTCGCGACTTAACCCCCTTCCGGTTCATCACGCGAGACAAGCGTACTCAGGCCCCCTAGATTTGGTCATCAGTGAGGCACTCTCGGTGCCCGAACCCCCGAGCAGTGGTACGGTGGATGTGATGACATTTCGAATTTGTGGAGAGTGACCTGTACGTATTAACAATCATTGCACGTTCACTGGTTGCTTGTGGCCAGGGAGGTCCTTGTTAGCGTACGCGGAAGGGACGTTCGGAAAAGATGGCGGGTCCTTAGTGTCTGTGAGGGTATAGATGGTTACTGCGCTGATGTCACACTTTGTATGTGCACGCTGAGGTGGGCTTGCTTTTGGCGTCACGGGATTCGCACTCATGGTTCAGGTACCTTCGCTGCCATTTGAACACATCGAAATTACCACTCGAAACCCCAGCAGACACCAGGATGCTTTTGGCTGACCCGCTCCCCTCGTAACAACTTAATCTACGGTATGCACGCACTGCAGAACAGACACGTCTCGAAGCCTGCGATATGCAGGCACACAACATGCGGTCCAGAAACGGGCAAAGTCGCGAATTTGGCACCGGCCGGGGCGCAGCAAGCATCGCGTAGCGAAGGACGCGAAGGACGCGTGAACTAGCGCCACTCGGCTTCTCAGCCTCCCGCCCGTCAGGACCGGAACGCCAAGACCGCCGCATCCGTGCCATCAGCCGATATGCATCTGTGGGGAAGCTGGAAATCATCCCGCGACATTGCGCGTCTTTGCCATTTGCAGCTAGAGGCCGACGAAACTCGGATCTGGTTGATCTCAGCGCGATGCTGTCTATGGGGATGCATGGCTTTAATTCATTTGCATCCCTCACCCTCACACGAAACGAAGCCGACCTCGGGAGGCTATCAACGGCACGGGCGCAACGCATTTCACAACGCGGTCAGCCTCTCTCAACCCTGAATGACAGCTGCGTCACAGCCTCCCGTGCGGAATTGGAGTGCGCAGGCACCAAGACACTCTATTGGGTACGACGTCTAACACCAATCGCTATTCCATGAGGTGCAACACTGCGGCAATTGTGGACACCACATATGCGGCCGGCGTACACCATCGCACAGGGCAGTGCACTGCAATTATTAGCGCGGAAGAGGAGTCGCAGGCGTACAGAGTATGAACAGCCAGATTCCTGTCAGATGCTGAGCATCAGGACGCGCGCTGTCTGCACTCCCACGGGCCAATCGGGCCAACCGGGCCGTGGATTGTCAGCTCTCACCGGTTCCAGGACTATTACTCTCGTCTTGATTCACAGCGCATTCATCACCAGGTGGGTCCAAAGCATGTGCCGGATCAGTTCAGCCTATCGATTACAAGTGCGGGCCACGGCCAGGCAAAGTCCAGAATGAAGCAACGATTGCTAGGGTCGTCACCAATGGGACAAACGCACCCTGTAGATCTCCTGGGTAGCGCTTCAACCACCACCCCGAAAAAGCGACCATTCCAAGCATGAGTGTGACGTGAGTAACGAAGACAGTAGCTGCCGACAGCAAGTAAACAGCTTCGATACCATAAACTCCTTCTCCGGGGTTTCCCGACAAGGTATCGAACTTATCGCGTTTCCTCGGTATCCTCATCCATTTGTGGGAGTCTTTGTGCACGCGTGAGCATCTGTGTTTCATAAAGCGTAGACGTGACCAAAGGCAAGAGGCTCCGCATGTTCGAAGATACCTTCGAAACTCGTTCTTGCTAACCGGAGGATTGCGAATGCAGTGAACATCAGGAGGCCGAGGGTCGTATTCATACTGCGCTCCGTTGCCGTGGTCGTCCGGTAGAGATTCGTCGCGGCACCAGATCAGGTCGGCACCCATCGATTCGAACTTTGAAGTTTAGCGTGGCATTCCATATGTGAACATCTAAATAATAAGACAGGGATAGAAAAGGGTTGCACACTTACCCGAACAAATCTACAGTGGTCGAAGATGTAAGGAGAAAACCAACGTGAAATTGCCCAGCGGTAGTCGTGGTCCAAACGGTTCAGCTCTGCGAAGAATTTGAAGTCATTCATTATCTGGTGGGGCATTTCGATGTTTTCGATGTCGTTGAAGTTGTTATGGCCTTTGATACCAAAAATAACCCAGAGAGATGTACTTTGCGTAGCGGGTGTAATAGTAGACCCTGTAGAGGGTACTTGCTGTACGCCGCTGCTGCTGCTGTTAGACAGTTGTGATGCAAGATTGTTTACCGGCACACCCGACACGCTAGCTGTGTTTGCGCCAGCAGTAGGCGTCGTAGAAGCGGGTGTATAACGCTGACGGGCTGCCGATGCCGGTATTTGAGCAGGCGGCTGAGAAGTCGGTAGCCAATTATCGATAATCCATGTCAGGGTCGATGCAATGTATCCCCCGAAAGCAAGCCTTATGTGTTCCAGCTCGCTGGTACTGCAGGAGAAACAGCAGTAACATTTGGGTGGATGATTGCGACTCCGGTCCAGGATAGTTTGTATCGAAACCGCGTCCGAATCGGCAATGTCTTGAACATAGACATGCGAGCAGACCTAGAAGTTTGTAGCTGATAAGCGATGATTCAAACTGTCGCGATGAGGTAGACAGACCTTGTATTCAAGACGTTTTCGTCCTTGCACGAGGTCATGAACTCTTGGTCGGAGTGGCCACCAGTCCCACTCGAGTGACGTGGAGTCTTCAATGCGTGCTTTGACCTTGTTGGCGAAAGATACATCGTTGGTGCGTGCGATGCTTATATCAGCCTTGGGTACTGTCTCTACTATATCTCGCAATGATGTAGGAAGAAGGAGTAGTCTCAGGTCGAGTTCAAAACTTGAGAGATCTCTCCGCAGGAACGCGTAGGCATCAGTAAGTGCTGACAGTAGTTCCTCCTCGAAAGGATCAAGAATGTCGAGCGAGCTTTCTTCGACGTTGCCCCCCAGTTCATTCTCCTCCAGCCCGCTGTCGCTCCCGGCTTCACGAGCTGTGGAGATGTTCTCAAGCTCCTTCATCTCGGCCCCGATTGAAGCTTGTCTAGAATAATGCCGAACGGCTTCGAGTTCGCGAGATTCCGAAGATCTTAGACCCGTCAACCAGCTTGCAACATTTTCCTGCTCGCGAGGTCTAAAGTCCAAAGTCTCAAGTGGCTTTGTCTGCACTATGTCTTCTTGCTCGAGCACCACAACAACGTTACGCGCTATTTCGATGAGATTCTTCCCGGCATTTAGAATTCGAAGAGTGAGACTCTCTGTGCGAGTCCGCGAGCCTGGTTGTTCTCGAAGTCTGAGCAAGTGGATTCTGAGCAATTGTCGATAGTTGCGCACGAATCCCTCTCTTCCAAATTGTTGAAACGCTTTCTCATGTAAGGGTTGCAGCTGTTTCAAGTTGCCCAAGAAGTCTCCGAAGCACCGGGAGACGAAGCTTTCTTCGGGCGTTCGGTCCCGGCGACTGTCTCGTGTTCCGGTAGATTCTATACTGGACAGTATGGAAGCACCGTCGTTGTCTCCCGTAGTAGCAGAGAAATTGAATGTAGGTGTGAGAGTCCTCGATCGTTCTGCGCCCTTTGGTGCTTGAGATGCCTGGAATATTACACTTTCGTTAATGCTAGGACTAGTCCATGGACGTTTAGCGCTAGGTATTTCTGAAGACGAATGTCTAATATTCATTCCTGATGCTGACGTGATGCTTGAAGCTGGAGTCATTTCCGAAGTGTCAGAAACTGATCGCATGTCACTGTCAGTCACGCTAAGACTTGCATTCCGCTTCCATGCATAAGTAGGGGAGATTGGCCTAGATTCGGTATTGCCGAAGGCTTCGGATTTGACGGCGAAGCGTGCCCCGGGGGATGCAGTTAGTACGTCGAAATTGTGAGTACTGGAGCTCTTCTGAGTTGACGAAGTTCGAGCAGTGTCTAACTGATTGAGATTGTCAAGTGAAGACCTTTGAACGCTAGTCGAAGCGACAAAGTCAGGACTTGAAGCAGAGCCAAGGTCTTGAATATGTTGCAGCTGTTGCGGGGGGGATGATACAATCGTCCGGTGTGAACTAGATGCGCGCTCGGGGCTTTCATCAAACTGTATCAGCTCAGCCCTCTCTAGCTTGGTTTCCTGCAACGCGCGCATATCCTGATTGAGTTAGTAAGAATAGGCGACCTGGGCTATATTATCTCACGTATTCCACGGAATGTTCCACGACATAGCGTGTAATTACAACTGCTTGTTTCTGACCAAAACGAAGGGCTCGTGCAATAGCTTGGTTCTCGACTGAGGGATTCCATTGGGGCTCGACAATGAACACGCGGTTTGCTGTCGCAAGATTCAACCTACCCGACAGGATTAATGATAGCAGTCAATCATATTGATGTGGTTGACTCACCCTACGGCGCCGGTGCCGGTGGTCATGATCAGTACTCGCAAATTGGGGTCCTCCGTGAATTGATGCAGGATGCGTTCGCGTTTGGTCGTTGAGCATTCGCCGTCGACGCGCTCATGGGTCCACGTGTTGTTAGACATGTAACGGAGGTAGCTCTCTAGCAAGTTCAAGGTGCGCGTCCAACAAGTGAATATGATGCTGCGAGTTTGTCAATCTTGCCCTCCATGTGTGTAATCCCATCGCGCATACCTTTTCGTTTTCCACACATCGACAGAGACGTCGTTCATCAAAGCTTCCATTTTCGAAGACCGTCCGTTTGCTCGAAAGTATGTATCTTCTTGTGATGCATCTATGGAACGAGGTGTTTGAGTGGACGCATTCCACAGGGGATGACAAAGCGGGCATTTGCTGGGTATCTCGTCGTGACCACTAGGCGTACTCTGGGTTAGACATTGAGAGCACAACACATGCCGGCAATTTTCGGTGTAGCGATGGAACATCAAGCCGCTATTAAAGGCAGGCATCGATTGCCGGCATACTGAGCACGTAATCTCGCCGTCTCGCCCAAGTGAGATCTCCAAAGCCTCCACCTCATCCAGCAAGTGCAATTTGCGGCGATTCCAGGAAAAGGGCTGCTGCCAAGTACCATGGTTGCAGAGAATCCGTAGCTGGAGTTGTACCTGGAACATGCCCAGCGTACTCTTTTGATCGAACGTGCCATTTTGATTACGGACAGCTCGGAACATGATCTCTTGAGTCTGGTCGTATTGTAGGCGCTCTTCTGGTGAAAGCCGTATGCTCCTGACTCGATGCTGCTCTGCTGGTAAATGCAGTACATCCTTGGTTCGGCGGAGACACATGGAGTCCAGAAGTCGAGTGAAGCGCTCGATCGCAACTGTACGTCTTTTGCCGCCCTCTTCGAAAGGTATAGCGATAATCTTGCGGAAGTTCGATAAGCTGTGAAATGGATCCACTTTCAAGAAGGCGAACAAGGAGCCGATGTCCTCGAGCCGGTTTTGTATAGGCGTGCCAGTCAAACACCACCTCGACCGGGCCGCGATGTCAGCTACAGTCCGATACAATGTCGTAGACTGCCGTCGTATGATGTGGGCTGTGAGATTATCGTCAATGGTGGGCGGTCAACGTTTGGTGAGTTACTCACCTTCATCAAGGACGAGACGATACCATTCAATATCCCTTAAATCGTGTTTGGTTCTGGCAAAATCTGACGAGAGCGTGTGATATGTGGTGATGACAAAGTCTGCCTCCAAGAGCTTCTCCAGGGAAACGTGTCGATGAGGGCCGTGGTACTTGATTGCTTTTAATGCTTTACGGGTAGGCTCGTCATAATGCCTTCCAAGGTGAGCAGCTAGAGGATGTGCAACGATCTTTGTGACTTACTTGTCCAGTTCCTGGAACCATTCATTGATCATGACTGCGCGGTCAGTCCAAGAGCACTAGTCTATATCGCAAGGATGATATACTCACGGTCCGATGATGCAACAATCAGAGTCGCTCCGGAGCGGCGTCTCTTCCTTCGTATTTCCGAATTCACATCGTTGAGATCATCGACGCTCAAAGCCCAAGCGTGCGCAGCGTTCAGTGTGCGTAGTACAAGGGCTAATATAGAGAGAGTCTTTCCCATTCCCATCTCGTCTGCCAGGATACCACCGCCAGTTTCTTTGGGCTTAAGCATGGCTTTTGTATTATTAGCACGCTTCAAAATCAGAACGCTCAAAGAACCAACTCACAACGTCCTTTCGTCAGAACATGACGATAGCTGTCAGTGGTGTCAGTGGTATCATGCAAGGCCGACCACCGGGTACGTACCAATGGAGTCCATCTTCTACGCTGGACTTCCAAAGCGTATACTCCTCTGGTATAGGCCCGTCCTCGCGCTGAATCATGAAAGAGAGTGCTGTCTTCTGGTGCCTGAGTCTATTAGCGGGCCATCGCGAAGCATCGAAATTCGGAAGGGACAGTAGAATGTGTACGGGACGAATTGTATGGGACGTACAACAAAAGGTCGGTGTTGAGGCGCTCGTCACCCTCTAGCCCGTGAAGGTTGCGATTTCGCGCCAAGGAGGAAAACACATTCTGGAGAGTGCCCTCCAAGGTCTGCAGATCGACCTTTTCGGAGAAAGGTTCTTCTGTGGTGGCTGGTATCTCAGGCGTTGAGCCATGGAATCCGGCAAGGGTGAGAACATGTGGATTCTCGTACCGATACCCATCTCGTATGTGAACAGGACGTTGCAGATAGATCTTTCGCTGCGAAAGCTCTCTACCAATATCGGAAGCAGCTGTGCGTGGACCGTACACAATCACCTGTACCCGTACTACAGCCTCTTTTTGTTTGGTAGCACGACCTATAGTCTCTTCTATGATACTTATTGGTGCAAAGACCTCCAGATCAATCTCGTAGCCATGTTCTGCGATGCTCGTCAACGCTCCATCTAACTGAGCATTCGCGTCTCCTACGACCGCTCCATCCTGGAAAGCGACCAGGAAATGGTCTTCGGGCTTGACGATAATCATTTGCGCATGGCCTGGAATTAGAGACGATGCAACGCTGTTGATTCTGCGATGAAGCTCCGCCATCTCGCCACGAAGGCGGATAGCAGCCCCGGAGATCTAGACGCGTGTCAGCTGCATGTCCAAAGGAGAATTAACAGTAGAGGAGCTTGATCATGGTGGTTGACGTTTCCTAGAATTATTTCTTGTTGACTTACCATGCCGTAACAAACGTTGGCTTCTACTGCAGGGATTGCCCCCTCCTTGGACTGATGCGGCGCTTCTCCTGTCGTCCATCGCTCAATATCAGCGCTTGTCTCTTGAAACGAGCCGTAAATATTAGGCCTATTCCCATCGATGAGTGGATCATGCGTTTCGGTCTGTGAACCGAGAAGTTCGTTTACGTATTGGTCCCAGGACTGTGTTGGCAGTGCTGGTGTCAAGCTTATCTCGAGTTAGCACTTTTACGGCAAGCATTCCTACAGTGACGTACTCATTAATAAAGTCCTCTCGGTCCCATCCTAGACGTGCTCGATTGTGTTCGTGCGCATCTTGAATGTCATCGTCGTGAATCAGGTGTTTCGATGCCATGTGGTGTGGCGTCAATTCGTTCCTTCGCGGTGGTTTGACAAGCGCATAACCGCTAGTATTTGAGACAACTGCAGAATCGCAGCAGAGCGAGATATCTATTTGTTCTTGGTACAGACGGGAGAATAAAGTGAACTGTGAGGAATAGATGGAGGACGACTGCCCAGGTGGTGCGTGCAGGCCAAGATAGCTGACACGATCGTGAATGCCCCGCTCCTGTTGCCAAGCGATCTTTGTAAGCCATGCGCGCATCGTCAGCTGCCGCCACCGCTCTTCGCTTACCCCGAACGACGTCCCGTTTGATGGCCCTTCTTGCCCCGTTCCCGCAATTTGTTGTATTACCGCATCTATAAACGTTCCTCCATCGTTGACTTCGGTCTCTAGGCACCACCTTCATTGTACGAGCAACGCTACGAGTGCGACGTGGCATCGCGGACCTTATCGGCCACAAGTCGTGCGGAGCAGATGTACTTGTTCTCTCAGCGCGTACCAGCCTTCACCAAAGATGATGCTGTGGAACTTCTAGGGACATACAACAAGGTCGATACAATTCCAGCAGCGTAGTCGGGGTCCTCCTGCTGCCATGTCGCAAGAGCCACTCTTAGTTGGAGCCGTTACCCTCTCCCCAGATACGAATGGATCAGCTCTCATACAAGCTACTCAACAATTCCGCGATCGGTTGACAGAGACACAAGTTCTCCAGTTCGAGACAGCTACATACGAAAAGCTCTGCAGGGAGTTGATTAGGGTCCAACAGGAGCAGGAGCGCCGAAATGAGATGATGAATCTTGCGCGCATCAAATCTTGTATCGAAGGCTTTTACCAGCTTTGCGAGGTTATAGCGAGATTCATCAATGTTCCTGATGCCTTCGTCTTCGTTTGGGGTCCAATGGAATTCCTCTTGCTGGTAAGTGTGTCGGGATACCCATTATGCTGGTTGCGCTAAGGAGTGATGTAGAAAGCTAGTGCATCTTCAGACTCATTCGACTTACTTCTGGAAGCATACGAGAAGATCGGCGAACAGCTTCCTTTATTGGTGGAATATGATTTACATTTTTCCAGATCTCCCCATCTGATCAACGCTCTAGAGATGATCCATTCAGAAATACTAGACTTTCATTTGGAAGCCATCAAGCTCTTCTCAGGAAGATGTAAGCCTATCTTGCCACACTTCCTTCTCTTACGCTAACTATTACGGACGCAGCATGGACTCGATTCTTCAAGTCAATGTAAGCAGCACCCCTTCGCAAACTATGTCCAATTTGCTGATACCAACTCTGGCATCCAGGTGGAACGACTTCCACACGAAGTTTGTCGGAATTCTGAGTTGTCTTCGACGCCACAAAGACATCATCGACTGTCGCGCTAGCCTTGCCCAGTACCGTCTTTATAAAGAAGATGTGACCGAGCTCCAGGTGAAGTTGGACGAGAATGTTAATCGAGATAAGACCAAGAAGCTGATGGTCGTCAAAGAATGGCTAGCTGTTGGGGAGCAATCTCAGCTCGACCACGAGAGCTTCTGCAAGATACGAAGAGAGTGCGCAACCACTGCCAGATGGATAACACAGCACGATATCATGAAACATTGGATACACTCTGATATTCCGAACAGCTCTGTTGTGTGGATGTATGGGATACCAGGAGCCGGTATGTATCAAAACTGGGGTTATAGTGCGACGCTCACCAGCAGCAGGCAAAACCATACTAGCATCCGCTATCATTGAAGAGTGCAAGACTAGACGAGACTTTATCACCTGCTTCTTCTACTGCCATGATGGCGACCCGACAAGTAGCACCGCAGTCGGTATACTTAAGGGCCTCGAGGACCAATTGTTGGATCATTGCCCGCAGATGCTGCCTCCCTGTTACACGAGGCGTAGTACGAGCGGAGAGCCGTCCCTCAAGTCTCTCAATCAGACGAAGGGGCTCTTCGAAGATTTTTGCTTGACTATTCCCAAACTCTTTATCATCATTGATGGGCTGGACGAGTGCGAAAGGGTGGAGAGAAGTCAAGTGCTAGAGATCTTGACCAAAGTCATAGGGCAGCGCGATGTGCTTGATCCAGGCACCATTCGCCTTCTGATCGCGAGTCAAGACCATGCAGACATACGAAGAGGACTCCATAGTTCCGCGATCACCAAAATAGCGCCTAAGATGCTGCAAATCTCGGAAACGGACAACGAAGGCGACATCAAGGCTTACACCAAGATCTGGGTGGATCGGATCGAGACAAAGTTTCCATCATTCACTCAAGACATGAAGGAATACCTCCGCAACCTTACCGTGGCTAACGCAAAAGGTTCGTCGGTGGTTGGACACATTATATTCATCCGGTTTCTGACTTGAACACAGGCATGTTTCTCTATGCCAAAATGGTTTTGCTCGACCTTTATGCGTGCACGACGCTAGGGGAGCTTTTTGACTCTATCAAGACGGACAACTTTCCTGCCGGACTCGGCGAGGGGTAAGTGAAGAAGCTCTATATGCTGAGCTGTACGGACGTAAGTACGTGGCGGGAACAGAGTGGCCGTTGACTGTCAGGCAGATATGAGCGGACATTACGACGAGTCAAAACAAGGTCTGGTAGAGAATGGCCTAAAGTAAGGAGAGTACTTGGATGGTAAGTTGCAATACAATGTGTGCGCAATCCGTACGCTTACGTCATATCAAAACCGTAGGTTAGTGTGCGCTAAGCGTACATTCACCTGGAAAGAACTTCACGTCGCACTATCGATCGACGTGGACCGCCAAATCCTTGATTATGAGGACAAGCGAATGCACGAACACGTTTCTGAACTGTGTGGGCCGCTAATACTTCTTAACGGCGATCGAGTTTCTCTCGTTCATAGCACAGCCAAGACGTATGTGAGCCCCCATGCGATCAAGGCCTTCTTGTCCTGATTGAAACAGGTACATCACCAGGATCACGAAAGACGTTCATGAGCCATCCATTGAGTGCGAGTTGGCGACGCTGTGTCTACAATACCTCACCTTTCCCTGCTTCGATGTCGATGACTCGGATGATCAAGTGCAACGCCGACGATATGTATTGGACGGATCGATTGCCTTTCAAGATTACGCCACCGCGAAATGGTTCCACCATGTCGACGCTTGGGTAGGCCAAGGCGAGAGATTCCTCGACGAGGCAAACGACGTGGCAGGACAGCTGCAAAGCATCCTCAAAGCCATGGATGATTTCATGACGCGCTATGGCGACGTGGACTGGGCCAACGGCTTGGTGGACGACTGTAAGGCCAAGTGCAGGGTATTTGAGCATCTCGACCTCCACGATCATCTAGTGGGGCTCACTAGCCACATCTACACGTTCCAGCAGAAAGGCTTCGATGCACAACACAAGATCAGCATCGGAGACCTCTCGAAAGCGTTGGATCGGAATCGAAAGGCTCTCGAGATGTTTCCCAAGACCAAGCCTAGCCCGACGGCACACGAGAAGGAGACATACAACAGATTCTACGACGAGGAATCGCGGTTCAAATGCACGAGGATCACATGCCGATATTTCTCGGAGGGTTTCAAGGACGCCAAGGCTCGCGACCGACATGTCAACATCCACGAAAGACCGTTCCAGTGCGAGGTACCAGACTGCCTGGGCGCTGAAGGGTTCGTCAACTCAAGGGATCTAGAGAGTCACAAACGAACATTTCATCCCGAGATGAGTGATTTAGCGGAGAAGTTCATCGCTGATACAACGAAGCGCGCGGCAACGAATCACGCCTGCAAGTTTTGCGGAAAAACATTTTCGCGCAACTTTCATCGCAAAAATCATGAGCTCAGCCATCGAGGAGAAAGGCCGCACGAATGCCCGGAGTGCGGTAAGGCATTCACGAGGTTGAACGATCTTAAGAGACACCAAAAGATACATGACAGAAAGTAAATACCTGGAGGTCAATTTCGTTCAGATTGGCTGCCCAGGTAAGTAATCTTAGTGGAGCGCGCTGTTCTAGCCATTCTCGCGTCTCCTTTAGCACACAGCCCCCCGTTGCTGGTTATTTCTCGGATGCATCGTTCACTGGTACATCATATCATTCTGCTATACATCATCGATTTTCAGCAAGATATGTAACCCATTCCTCATATTGTGTCGGGCACGTCCGAATAAGCTATAGCATAACTTGCAATTCAGACTGGCTGGTCGAACTTGCTGCGTGGTGGAACGACCCGCGATCGACGGACAGCTATTGTCTCCTCTCAAGCGTGCTTCATGTTCGAACCAATTCAGCCTTGCACAATGCCTTGTGTACAGTCGATTTCACGACCCTGTGCTACTAGAGAGTGACACGTGAAACCGGTGAGCAATCCGCTTGCATCGGTGGGACGAGTGGGACGAGCTGACCCGGCCTTGACCGGTATTGCTGGGCCACCAGTCCTTATCAGCAGTCACGTGCGAGCGATGACCCAGCGATGGGTCAATGACATCATTTGGAGCGCAGGCATCGGCCCCCCGTCCACGCTAAAGATTGCAGTGCAGCTTGGATACGATGGAAAGTAGCTCGACGTTCCCACCAGGCCCCATAAACAGCAGTTGCGACCGTTTCTTCCCAAGGCTGAATACTGCGCAACAAGTCACGATGATCCCTAGTATATGCAATCATCATCAAATGCGCAGCCTCATGACAGGACCATAGCTTCTCTCTAGCGCCAATGGTTGCAGTGCATTCCATGCGGCCTGGGCTGCAGTGATCCCACTCATGACTTTTGACAGCTCGTATCGACATGTCTAGCCTGCGAAGAAATGCATGCATGTCTTCGCATTGCCAGTGGCCTCTGAAGCTACTCTTGGACGTGCTCCTACGCGCTAGAAATTGCAGTGCAAATTTGGGGGCGGAACCCAGTGTTCTGCGGTTGTGACGGGCTCGCAAGGCTATTCGCGCGTCCATGGATAGGTATCTTTCTCTAAACGGGAAGCAGCAGGTGTGCTGACAGTGACGCTCATTTGAGATTAGACTTCTCTTCTTCACGCTGGAGATCGCAGTGCCAATCTCAGCGTTGTGAGCACACCATCACACTATCAACTCAACTCGATCACCGCTCTTCCGCGCTAGAGATTGCAGTGCAAAGCGCAGCAAATGCGGTGGCGCAGTCGAAGACCCTTCCCGTTGCTGTTCCATGCCGTACATGCGCTCTACCTCCTCTTCCGCGCTAGAAATTGCAGTGCAGATTGGTGGCGCATGACATCGCTCGGTCCACCCACCATCGCCCGCGAGCCGTGCCGTTCCCCACCTCAGCTGATAACACCCCGGCCATCCTCAACGCTACTGTTTACAGTATAGACTCATCATCATGGTCCACTTGCGCGTGCGCGTCAATTCCATTAGCTATTCAAAAGCGTCGCATACATCAAGAAGTCTCAATTGCGAGCTGCACTCGTGGTGTTGTCTTGATGCGACTGGCTTTACATGTTGGTCACGTCTTGGCTATTTCGGTCACACACAGGCATCGTGCCTCTCTTCTGCGCTAGGAATTGCAGTGCACTTGCGCGGAGGTGCCATGGTCCCTGGCTTCATGTCTATGGACGCGCGCGCGCCGTAGAGCCTGTACGGTGATAGGACAACCACTGCAGTGCCTCCTGCAAACGGAAGGGCTGGTAATGTGCAGAGCAACCCGGTCTGCACTGCAATTTCTAGCGCAGGAGATGGAGTGTCTGACATTTGTGTATGTTCCACCTTGCACGCTAGCAAATGCAGTGCATGTTGATAATGTCGAGGGCCGCATGATGCAGGTTAGATCCACCGACATAATTGGTCACTCTGCCCGACCAAGCACTCGTCCGTGCTAAAGATTGCAGTGCACATTTCAGCCACCACCGATTCTGCCATGGGTTCGACTATCTTACTCACGCTAACAATTGCAGTGCAACGGGGAAAATAGAATCATGCCGACCCAGCGATCAAAGCCGTTCATCTGATAGGAACAACAGACCAACGTACCTACCTGTCCAGGATTTATGCTCATCTGCTAGAGTCTGACGTGTAAGAAGTCTTCAGCACACGCTCCGGTCTTGGTCAAATAGCGGCTTCCGTACCGGAACTGATTTTACAGATGCATCGCGTCGCCACGCACATTACTCCCCACATCGTCATACCCGGTAGCTCCGGCTTCCTGCCACCACGCGAGCAAGTCATGCCTTCAGAAGATCTCTGTTGCATGTCAAGAGTCAAAGTAGTGGCTTAAAACCTGTGCATTTCCATTGTACTACAGAACCTGATGAGTAGAAGACAAGCTTGACGCATCTCAGACAAAATGGCCCGGCCCAACAACTATCACATCTTCTAAAAAACGCCACACTACCGACGAAGCACAATCTATGAACACCTCACAGCACACGCTGCATCTCCAGCAACTGCGAACACACGCCCCTAATTCCTCTCGACCTCCTTCAACTGAACCCACAACGGGTCCTTCTCCCAGACGAAGAACGCCCGCTGGTTGTCCGGCCAACCGTGACTTCCGACTTGCAATTCAAGGTCGAAGTTCCAGATGAAGCGAGCAGCAATGATGCGCAGCTCGTTATAAGCCAAATTCTTGCCGATGCAATTCCGAGGGCCGAAAGAGAAGGGTTGGAAGGCAGACTTCTTGTCTGCGTTGAACTGTGGGTCGTGGTAAGGATGGTCTGGGCCGAGCCAGCGTTCGGGAATGAAGGAGTCGGGCTGGACGAAGTTGTTGGGGTTGTGGTGGACGGCCCACTGGAATATCGTGATAAGAGTCTGAGAGGTGCTGTTAGCTGTGACTGTCTATGTTTATTCGAAGTACTTCTTCTGACTGATGGATGACAGGCGAAGTGATCTGGAATGACGTACACCTTTGGGAATCCAATAGCCGTTAACGTACTCGCCAGGAGACACACGTGGAGGCGTATCCGCAACGGGCGGGTACATTCGTAAAGTCTCCTCAATGCAGGCATGCAGGTACTTGAGTTGCGCAGTAGACAACATCGTTATGTCTTTCTCGTTGGCGAAGGCCGTCCGAACTTCTTGCTGGAGCCGCTCGAAAGCCTGCGGGTTCGTTGACATGAAGTAGGTGAAGCCTGACAGTGTCGTGGCTGTCGTCTCGCTGCCAGCCACGATCAAAGCCTCGGAGTTGCCCAGGATCTCTGCATGGCTCATGCCCTTCTCGTCGTTGTTGCGAAGGATGTACGTCATAATGTCCTTCCGACCGCCGGGTGCCGCGCCAAGTGCCAGCCTTCGCTCTACCTTCTCGTCACTCATGATCCTGTTGTTATGACGCGTTTGCATGTCCTCTTTAGAGATCATCAGCCGTAGGATCCAGCTGAGGCCAGGCATCTTCATCAACGCAACAATTTGCGCGCCAGCTCTGATGCCAGCGAATATCATGGAAACCCATGGATGGTAATCGCTGCTGTCCAGGCAATGGAACGATTCACCCAGGGCCAAGTCGCCGATGATGTCGAAGGTGGTGAAGTTGAACCATTTGACTACGTCCGTCGGGGTGTGTTGCGCGGCGTCTTTATGTAGGTGGGCAAAGAGCTTGTCGACGTACTCCATGATCAACGCCTCCTGACCCTTGATAGCAGCATCGGAGAAAGCATGTGCCATAACACGGCGTTGACGTCGATGGTCCTCTCTGCTGCTAGGAAAGATCGACTTGCGTGAAGTGTCTCCGCCCTGGTAAAATTCATGCCACCTGCCGAATTCGGGTCGGCCACTGCGACTTAATCCGAAAACTTCAGGCCATCCAATAGTTCCGTTGATGGATATGGAGTTGGGCGAAGTACGCACCATGTCACCGTACTTTTCATGGTACTTTAGGACCTTTTTGGCGAAAGTTCCTTGGATGCTGTTCTCGATGGCCAGAGGGATCCCGGAAACGGCGAAATGCTTCGGTCCAGGAATCTTGCGAAGGGGGTGGAAGAAGAGACGATAGATTGCAACGCCGATTGCACTGACGACACCCTGAGAAAGCGTTAGAGGGTGACTGCATCGGCGAGATGAGAACACTTACAATTTCGACTAGAAGCAGCACAGCAGCTGCAGCCTTCTGAAACGACATCGCTGTCGACAGGTTGAAGATGTTATCAGATGTGGAGTGACTTCGACGGCGGCTTGGAAGACAGGAATCTTGGTCCTCGAATCCGCGACGTGAGATGTGATGCGGATATGTGTAGAATGATGGCGATACCACTCCGCACGGGAGGACGACATTATATATGCCCTGCGGCAAAACCCCCTGGGTAGCAAGACTCTTTACCCTGTCTCTTCAACCATGGCTTCTACAGACTGTATGATGCCTGCCGACGTTTCGCTTTGACATCTTGCGTGGACCCCATCCGTACGCGAGAGGATGATCCTGTGGTAAACGACCAGGCACAACGGTCGGATCTCGAATGTTTCCGGGCGCTAGCCTCGAAGAGTGACATCTGCCAAAATCTCCGATGGGGAACGCTAGGGTCGGATCGCGACTGCTCCGGCTTCCGTCCTTATTCACGCGCCGTTGCGTTGTTGAGCGCATATATACCGTATTGGAGGTTTTAGTGCGAGTGTCAAGCTGGGATGTAGCAGGTACGTTCTTCGTCTAGTGCTTCCAAACGGATGTCGTTACTCGCCATCCGGTCGCGCCAAGCTTTTGGCTCGGTTCTACATACCCCACGATCGGCGTAATCTCTTGTGCCCAACGCCAAGCCGGTACGTAGGACGAACATTATCGGCCTCCAAGGAGATGTGTTTTCTACCGCACCAAATACCGTTGCGCGCGAGGTGTTTTTAGCTTCGCAGTCCACCGAGACTCTCGTCGGTCATATCCTCAACGAAGACGTATCCCATCTGTACTGGGAAAGCAGTGCGAAAGCCTCGTCGGTACGCGCAGGGTGAACTCCTTGTCGCTATGTCGCCGCATATTGGTCGAGACACCCAGAATATCGCGCACTTGCGTCTCGGAAAACAATCATCGCTCTTCAGCGCTGAGGATCGCAATGCAAAGATGCCCCCATGGGCAGCCGGTGGCAACTAAGCAGATCCAGGGAGGTATACACGTGCTCTGACGCGTCAGAGATTGCAGTGCAGGCGTACTGTGCGCGCTCGAGGTCGTCATGCAGTTGCAGAAGCTGTTGGACGAGATCAATCGAGCCAGCCAGCGGCTCCTACCCAGGTACTCATCCTTCTCCGCTCACGTGATCTACACGGCCTCTCCCACGCTAGAAATTGCAGTGCAACGCAATTCTGGTGGGGGCGCAGTGATGGCGGACGCCTTGTTGCTTACATCACGTGGCTGATGGAACCGTTCGCCTGCACTAAGTGCATACCCGCTTCCTCCCCTCTCACACTGGAGACCGCAGCGCAACACCAAAATGAGCACCGAATGACTGCCGAACGAGTACCATTCATCTCACACACTCCTTTCATCAACCCAGATGCCTTTTACCAAGCCGAACGTTCGATTAAGTCCATTTCTGGGCAATGCTCGAGAGGCCGCTCTTCCGCAAACACCAACGCTTTCGCTGAGGACTGCAGTACACATCAGTCAAATCGCGCTGATGATGATGCACATCTTGTTGACGTGGGACGGTGTGGGTTCCTCCTACAAGATGGGTATTCGTTTACGCTAGAGATTGCAGTGCAAGAGCCCACGCCAACGATGTCTGTAGTTCCAGCATGCTGAGATATCCCGTAGGTCTGGACTAATCGCAGCCTTATCGTAACCAACTGCCCTTTTCTTTAACCCTGGTAGTCGTGTCTGCAGAGACGCGCTACGTTAAACAGCCGATTCGTCATCGTCATACTTCGTATATGGTCTCGTTCGTGCTAAGAAATGCAGTGCAACGCCCACCCTCGGAAGGATTCCTGACCGGTTTGAGGGCCTTTGCGAAGGACTTCCACATGCAAAGCTGACATTGGTGGGGATACGCATCCTCCGCGCCGAGACCACAGTGGCTGAGCGTTCCGCCACAGGACGTTCACCGGTGGTGTCACAGCAGCCAATCGAGCGCACCTTTTTACCACCACGTACACTCGTCCGCACTAGATATTGCAGTGCACTCCCGAACTGGCTACTCAACAGCTTTTTCTTGGCCATTCACCCTGTTTGGGTACACCTGGTTGCGGCTTACGATGCCTAAGTGGGAGAAGAGGACCTTTCTTCAGCTGTGACGAGCTCATCCCCTCTGCCTTCAAGCCTCGGGCTTCTTTCACCCTAGGGATCATTCTTCAGAGAAGTGTGATTGGTATTATACAGCCAGTGGCTGTGCCCAGACACGTTGTTCGATACACATAGCATGCCATGCGCCTTCATCCCGTCAACTCTTCTTTCGCGCTAAAGATTGCAGTGCAGGTGCACGATTGAAGGCGTTCCAGCTGTGGCTGATGGGCCACTTTCTCATACGGGCACTCGTGCGCGCTAGAAATTGCAGTGCACACCAGTTGAGTTGCGAATCGGCCATGTCAGGAGCTGATTGGCCACGCCTTCCAGATACCCGTTCTTCTGCGCTAATGATTACAGTCCAGCAGGCTGCAACGCAACCCGGGTGGTGTTCGTCTATGGCACTGAAACGTTTTCTGGCGCCGCATGCTCTCAAACTGCGGAATAACCTTGGAGAGCTGTCGTGAGGTTTGCGACACCCGCCCTGAAGGTCGCAGTAACTCAACTTCCACACGACGTTCACCAAAGGTACAGCCCCGCAACTCTTACAGCGTGACCCTCTCGTTGCGCGTTCGCGACATATTGGAGCAGGAAAGTCCCTGGTCCTAGATCGAGGCTCATCACAAGAGGTCCACTTTCGACGTACTCTTTCAGGCTCAAGGTTGCAATGCAGGTCATGGCGTTCGACGTTCGGGTGACAGGTACAGCGTGCTACGACGTCTTCCACGTCAGACATTGCAGTGCAGCTTCGAGTTGGCGGGTGTCTGACATCGGATTGGCTATCGACTTTCTCCGATCAGAGGCCCGTCCGCGCTAAAGATTGCAGTGCACGCAGCCTTCTAGACGGGTGACCACTCCACCTGCATGCACCCAAAAATGTAGTGTTGGACACTCTCGACGATTCACGACTTCCGTGTTGCAATTAGAAAAGATAAATCTCTTCACGATGCCCACCAGTAGTGCGTCCTACTAGTTGATTGAGCGCGTCCCATTTTTTGCGCGTATACAGAGTTCAATGGCACAAAAGGTCGTCCATCACTGCCCTCAAGAGGCTAACCACAAGAGGCGTGACCTGAGCCCTCGTCCACGCTAGAGATTGCAGTGCAAGGTTGCCCGGAGCTGCAATCTTCGCCCACACTCTCATTAGCGCTAGGGATTGCAGTGCACACCGGGCTACCCTTCAAAAACCGAGGTTTCCCGACCCTGCTGCCTCCAGGTGATGATTGGTTAGCACGTTGCCGCTTCTACCCATGGACCAATTCGTCTGCGCTAGATATTGCAGTGCACTTGGGGGCTACAAAGTGGCTGTCGATTTCCAAGTTGCGCACTTTGGTCTTCGCAAGCTATCGCCAAACTACCCCAAATGCGCGTCATCGCTGCACGTCACCAGGAATCGCACTGTTCTCACCAAAAATGCCGTGATTAGCATTCGCGGATACAAGGAATGAATTCAGAAAGACTATAGTTCATGGTAGTAAAGATTTGATCATTCATGATGCGCAGTAACTATGTAAACGGTTGAGGTAGCCATCTGGCCCCCACTCAGGCTCACGACTTCTCCCATGCAGATAACGCCAGCTCAAACTCCCGACGCCGATGCCCGAAGATGTTCACCAGTTCATAGACCCGTCATTCCAACCACCGAACGCCGAAACGCAAACCATATTACCCTTCCTCGCACTCTCCAATGACCCGAGCTCGCAGCGTCGCAGAACCCGCGCCACTAACCAAGGCACTCAGAAAACCGACTATACCTCCTCCTCAACGAGCTCCTCAACGACGACACCCTCATCATCAACCGGCTCCTCCTTAACCCGCTTAGCCATCGGAACATACATATCCTCAGCCTCCAGATCCTCCTCCTCCTTCTCACTCGACTCATCATACTTGACCTTCTGACCGCCGTTACGACCACGCTTGCCACGCGCCGCAGTCGGGGAAAGGACCTCGTCGTCGTCCATAAGACCCTGGGGACCATCGCTGTCGACCTCTTCGGAGACGTTCTTCTTCTTGCGCGGGGCGACCTTGGCCTTGGAACGGGGGGTCTTGGGCGTAGAAGCGCCGGACTTGGAGGGCGTGTTGGTGGCGGAGTTGAGGTTGGTGTTGCCGGAGACGTTCTTCTTTTTCCAGGAGTAGAGGCGGTTTTCTACGGCTTTGGCGGTGCATTCTGGGAGGGATGTTAGTGGGTGTGCGGTAGATGGGGGATGCGATGAAGGGATGTGGACTAGTGAGACGGCATGCTGATCGGGGATGATGCAAGGCAGTTCGAGTGACGGAGGCACATACCCAAACCAGCGGCCGTGACGCGCTCAGCGATCTTGTTGCAAAGCGTCTTGTTGAAGGAGATGTTGCACTCTTCGAAGACGCCGTGAAGGAGCTGTGATTCAGGTCAGCGAGTGCGACGACAAAGATGCGACGATGGTGGCGGCGGAGATGCACTTACAATCGAGTCAAGCTCGGCAGTCCACTTGATGACCATGGTGAAGATGAGGTAGCGGATCTGCAAGATTGTCAGCATGTATGTGATGAAGCGAAGGCGCTCGACTTACCGTTGCTTGTTGCTTTGGTAAAGTGAACTGAGATGCGCGAGGCAAGGCAAGAGAAAGGCTGATCAAAGACGCGGTTGGGCGATTGCTGGTAGTTGTTGGGGAGTAAGAGGAAAGGTTAAGAGGTTATGGGGAGAGCCTAACTTTATACCTAGGCCAGGGAGCGGGGAGGACGAGAGCAGGGTGGTGTTGCCTAGGTGAAGGTGAGTTCACCACCCAAAGAGGAGATAAGCGTCCTGCTCTCACCCTCACCAGTCCCTTCGACGCAGGCGAAGTGGTCTAGGCAAAAGGCGAAAACATGGGTCACGAGACGTTGTGACGAGATATTAGGAAATTGCAGTCTGTTCAATAATGCAATCGAGAAACGAGGACGACATGGGGAACATAGCATTGGCACACTTATAGCAATTGCATGCGCAGAATTAAGACTTGAATGTACCGAATACTCTCAAAAGCAAGATACTGTTACAAGACACATCACAATCCCAAACCCAGCAGCCATTCATGAAGTTCCTGCCGACTCAGCTCCTAAGCCGTCGGGTCAACAAACTGTCTCTGCCCATCCTGCCCGTCTCCATCCTCTCCATCATCCCCAGCAGCTTCAGCATCCTCATCCTTCGCACCCCCAACACCCAGCCCCGCACTCTCCTGCTCCACAGTCCCTCTCTTCTTGTGATGCCACTCTTTCCACATATCCGACACCATCTTCTGATTCTTCTTGTTGTTGACATAAATCTTCAACTCCTTAGGTATCGGGTACATTTTATCCATAAAGTCCTGCTTATCGAGCTGCTTCTCCGTCATCGTGACTCTCTTCTCCGCGGTCTCGGCTTCCCGGACAAAGTACTTGGCCCAGCGGAGTTCATACTGGAAGACAGTTTCGCGGCGCCAGGGAGTGCGGTTCTTGTTTCCGGCTTGACTGCCGGCTGGGAGCTCTTCTTCTTCGGCTTTGAGGTCGTCCAGGACTAGGCGGCAGAGACTGGGGAGGGGGATGTCCGCGGATTCTTGGTGGGCGCGCTCGAGCCAGAGTTTGCGCAGCCGGTGGACGGTGTTTTCGTATGCAAGTTGCGGCAGTAGACCGCATGGTGGCAGATCGTTGCTGAAGAGAATGGGCACTGCGCGGTCAGCTAACCACCTTAACTCCGTCGGGGCTTGCTATCACTGGAATCATGTTCGAGAACATGAGAGACCTACTATTGGGTAGTAGCGCAAGCTCTTCCTCAGAAAGTGGTTTGTTGCTCTCATCGTCAGGCTTGCCATGACCGTCTAAACCAAGTCCAGCAATGTCGTCGGACACATCGGTCCATTCATCTTCTTCTTCGACATGTGTTAGCGCTGGACATCAGGCGTAAGCCTTCCAGAACTCTTGGCATACCCTGCATCTCTGTTGTTTGGCCTGTCGGTGGAGCTGACATGTGGCTAGGTCCAAAGGGCAGCCGGGGCATGTGTAGCGAGCGATGATAAAGGCAGCTGAAGATGACCGCGCTGAATCGATTGCGCGCACAATAAGGAATTAGAAATTAGAAGATGGGTGTTGCGCGTTGATGTTGCAGCGGGAGTGCAGGCTTCGGCGATCAAGCAAATAAAACGCCAGCGTCCGCGCCTGCTGCCCAAACGCAGGTAGTGCAGGGCAAGAGCTCATGACGTCAGCGCGTGACTAGACCCTGGAAATTATACAAAATCACGGGATGTCAAGATTGGGCCAGGACGTTTTGACGTAAGAGACACATGAACATGATGAGAAGGTAGTACTACACCATTGCCGCAAACCGAAGGATGTCTTGTTAGTTCATTGATTGCGACATCTGTCACACAACCTCAACCATGCTATAACCAAGTCCATGCTCATCTACAACGCTTTGCCCATGAACTTCCTCTTGGTGTAGCTGAGCCACCACTTGCTGGGTGTGTTTGTCTCGTCCGCGTATACCCTGTTCAGTAACCGTGTCGCTAGCTCTTGTCGCATCTGCATGATGTACTGTCGCAGCACTTCAGCTCCGTTCCTGTCAGCTGGCGCCTCGAAGGCCTGGTTGAGCGGGAAGCCTGCGTCGCCCGGAATCGCAAAGTTCGTGTCCAGCGCAATGTTCATGACAGCCTGCCACATAGTCAGCTTCCAATGCCCGCCTTCTTCACCCGAATTCGCGACAGCATACCTTCTCGGCTTCTCTCCGACTCATGCCCGGCTTGATCTTTCCCAGTACCTCGCTAACGTATAGGATGCCATAGATGAGGACACGGTCGGCAGGGCCCTTGATCTCGAAGTTGCGGAAGAATGTGTTGGCGCGGAAGAGGGCAAGGATCTCGTCTAGCGGATCGTACGACTCGTGTGAGGCATCGATGGTGAGCTCTGTGACATCGGCGGGTAGAGCTGGCAGCTGGATGGCAGGGCCGCGGGTGCGTGTGCGGAGTGGGAGGAGAGCGAAGTTGCCTGATGCGCCCGTCAGTCACTTTTGCCTATGCCGGAGCTGGAGGGTGTAGCTGTACCAATCAATTGCTGATTGGGCTCATCGAGGAAGACGGAGTGGTAGGCCTAGGTGTGTCAGCTGCTGCTCTAGATGTTTGAACATGCCTTGAGGCATCAATCTGAAGAAACGATGCTATAACTCACCGGCATCTTGGGTGTTGTCGCCTAGATTGTTGGTGTCTGGCGGTGTTCTGGGAGCTCGGCGGAGGTGACGGCGCAGCTCCGCTCGGTGAGGTGTGCTGGTAGGGCTGAGCGGCGGGGGGTGACTAAGCCGCCCCATCAACGCGTCCCTGCGCGCGGCGCGTCTCCCTCGATTTTCTGCTAACAGCCTCAATACCACCAGATCAACGTTCTGGCTACCTCAATTCGACCTCAACACATACAGAAAACTTCTGCATTGTCAGTACAGCTGTCACAATGTCCGACTACGAAGATGAGATGGACGTGGATGCGCCCGCGGTAGACAACTCAATCACTTTCGGTGGAGACCAGAAGAAGGGCAAGAGGAGCGCTGCAAATCTACCCGTTGAAGCTGAAGACTCTCTACCATGGTGAGCCTCGGATTATGCTGTCTTCTGTATCCCTGCTAAACATTAGACAGGGTAGAGAAGTACCGACCAAACTCGCTCGATGACGTCGAAGGCCACAAGGACATAATAGCGACCATCAACAAGTTTGTAGACTCAAATGTATGGTCTACACTTACCTCCAAGAAGCTTAGCTAAAATTACCAGCGACTACCCCATCTCCTCCTCTACGGCCCTCCAGGTACTGGAAAGACGTCGACCGTCCTCGCACTCGCACGCCGCATATACGGAAACAAGAACATGCGACAGATGGTCTTGGAGCTGAACGCATCAGACGACAGAGGTATCGACGTTGTGCGGGAGCAGATCAAGACATTCAGTAGCACAAAGCAGATCTTCTCTGCGGCACCTAAGGCGGGAGACTCTTCGCTTGCAACGTTCAAGCTCATTATCCTCGACGAAGCCGATGCCATGACTGCGACCGCACAGATGGCCCTGCGACGAATCATGGAGAAGTACACCGCGAACACTCGCTTTTGTATCATCGCCAACTACACACACAAGCTCTCGCCAGCGTTATTGTCACGATGCACGAGGTTCCGATTCTCCCCGCTGAAGGATCAAGACATCAGGAATTTGGTCGACAAGGTCATAGAGGAGGAAAAGGTCAACATCACGCAAGATGCAACCGACTCGCTCGTCACGCTCAGCAAAGGAGACATGAGGCGAGCACTTAACGTTCTACAGGCCTGTCACGCATCAAGCACGCCGCTTCAGACGCCCGGCAAGCCCGCGCCCGACCCATCCACGATCGTGCGCGACGAGATCACGCAGACTACCATCTACGACTGCATAGCAGCACCACACCCGTCAGACATCAAGTACATCATCGAGACGTTACTATCGAAGAACGACATGACAGAGTGCTTGCGCACGGTCAATAACCTGAAGATCATGAAGGGACTCGCGCTGGCAGATATCCTGACGGCGATCAGCGAGGAGCTAGTCAGCAACGACGTGCCGCCGCAGGTCATGGTGACTTGGATGGCAGGTCTGGCAGACATCGAGTACAGGTTGAGTGGAGGTGGTAACGAAGCCATACAGACGGGCGCAGCGATCGGCGTTGTGAGGACAGGTGTTGAACTATTGGAGACCGGAAAGAAGTAGCACGTTCGCGACAATAGTTGTGGAAGGAGGACAAGAGCGAATTGCTAGAAATGATACCATTGGAATGCGCAAAAGCAATGCGACAAGACTACATCCGCACCACCCAAAGATCGCAGCCGTGATGATACACTACAAGAAAGTGGGGCAATATGTCTCAGGATACTCAAGATCACCGTGGTGATAGGACGAGAGTCGTGTTTTGCGCTAACCACGCTAGTCAACACTCACGCGACTCGGACGCGCCTTCCGATTGACGTACCCCGGGATATATACACAACGCATCAACAATCAACACGGTTATCTTAGTCGCGTTCCCCAAAGTTGACGATATCACCGTCCCCGCTTCCTATACAAAACACGTGCGACCACCTTGGTATACCGAACAACCGAATACGCGCGACGCGCATGCATACTCCGATCATGCCTGTAAAGGTAAGTCAACTTGCGCGACGAACGATCAAAGGCTGACATCAAACAGAGAAGAGAAGGCCCAACAAAGCAGCGGCAAGTCAGTCTGCGCAGAAGTAGAAGTATCGATGTACTTGCTCTTCCAGTATCTGTAGAACAGACAAAGTTACAAGAGCGTCGAGCAATCGAGGGAAAGAGCAAGCGGCCGCCTAGGTGGCGAGGGCCTGTAAGTACTATATATCCATGGCGCAAAGTCAACCAGGCTCATATCGCCGCAGCAGCAAAACAACAATCCCTTATCCCATAGGCCAGCGCCGACCATGCCATCGCAACGGGAATCGATACCAGCACGTGATCTCAAGAGCAGTCAAGAGAGCCAGCCACCACCATCATCAAACATCCAACTCCGCTTCTCCTTCTCCGAATCCTTCATCGATGATGTCGAGCGACAAGTCCACTCCGAGAACAACTTCAACCAAAGTTTCTCGGGGCTGACCATGACCCCCAGTGCCAGCTTCTCTTCGTCGAGTTCACAATCTACCACCAAGGCATCTCCGGTCCAACCAATCCAACCACAAACGTCCATCTACCACCAACCTCCGGTCTTGATCAAACCGGGCAAGAAAAGAGAAGGCTATGGATTCAGCTACTCGGAGACGTTCATGTACGATTCAGACGACTACCCCGACACCGAGTGCGGGGACGCTGATGACCATTCGTCTGAACTACACACCACGAGGTCACTGGACAGCAATCCGTATCTACACTGGGACGGAAACATGGGATCACAACAATCACACCCGCAACGCATGCAACAGACTCACCTATCCCAACAATCACAGTCCTCAACAAGGCCAACATCACGAGACTCCACAGCAACAATACCAACCCCAACCACCTCCTTCGACGACCTCGTTGTTCTCCGCCCCCCAGGTTCCTTCCACCTCGCCCGCCCACAACGCCACCTCCCCTGCACAACCGCAACTCGCGAAGACGCGCTTGCCCTCCGCGCCTCCGCCACTTTGCTCATCTCCAAGTACACAGAGTCGGCTTCTATCCAGCTCGCTTTGCTAACACGCATGGAGCGCATGATGTATCTGGAGCAGCAAAAGCCGGGTGCAACGGAAGATAGCGTAGCGGAGAGTCTGCAAGCGTGTGTGAGGAGGTTGAGGGATTGGTTGGTGAAGAGTAAGGGCGAGAGGATTGAGACGGGGGAGTGGAGGGGCGTGGTGGAACATGAGATTGAGTGGGTGGAGTGGATGGTGAGGGCGGCGGAGAGGGGGGTGTTGCATGTGAGGCGGAGGGGGTGTCGGTGTCGGCCGGAGTGGGAGGGACTGTAGGTTGACGGGGTTAGAGGATGGGTATCTGAAATCGTCTCTAGCAATTCAATCACCCCAATCTTGCAGCTACGAGCAGCCAACATTACCCTGCTGATGGGCGCAAGCACCACCCACACCTTTGCACTGCAATTTCTAGCGCGGAGGAGCAAGTATGTAAGAGAAGTAGCCAATCATACAAGACTTTTGCACAGCTTTGTTACGCATCCCGGTATCATTGTAAAATCTCATGCACGGAAGATCACTCTGCACTGCAATTTTTAGCGTGGAAGAAAAGCTATGTGAGGGAGGCAGGCAACCACACAGCTCTCTAAGGATTCGATGGCTGTCAAAAGGCTTATGCAAAGCACCGTAATTGGTTGTTACAACAAGCCATACGCATGCTTCGGAAACATAGGTCCGCGCCCGGTCAGCATCGGTGCACAGGAACTCGGGACACGATTTCGACGACTGCACTGCAATCTTTAGCGGCAACGAGAGCGTATGCGGACGATATAGCCAATAATCCACGGCTTTTGCACAGCCCTGTTACGCATCACTACAAGCCACACGGATCCAACCCACATCGGTTCCGAGAATCATTGGTATGGATGGATGCGCAGAAATGGTGGCTGGAGGACCATACGCTGCGGCCCACCGGTGAAGCTGGACCTCTCATTGTTCGTTATGGATGCGGCTCTGAACTGCTACATGTGGTTCTTTGAGACGACCTGCACTGCGATCTCTAGCGTGGAAGACGTCGTCCCGGGCCGCATTGGCTGCATATGCAGCTAGAGGTAACTGCACTGCGATCTCTAGCGTGGAAAAGGCCCTCTCATCGCGTGCTAAGCCCGAGATGGCTCTGGAGGCATCGCAAGATGTTAGGATTTCTGGTGCCATCCGGCTCTTTACAAATCAATGTTCGTAGCCCAACCTAGAACCAGACCGCAGTCCGAGTCAAAGGCGCACTCTATTCTTTCGTATCCGCGACGTAGTGATTACCTATACCAAAGCACAACAACGACCAGCCCGAACAAGAAGCAGACCGCAGTCTGGCTCAAAGGGGCACTCTATCCTTGTCCCGATACCGCTGCACTGCAATCTTTAGCGCGGAGGAGCAGGCATGAAAGCCAACCGTGGAAAGATGTAACCAGAACAACAAAGAAGTAGCCAGTAATGCGTGACTTTTCCACAGCCTCGTCGTGCAATGTAACGAGCTATGCGGGTTGGATTCGGGAGCAACCTGCGGGAAGGTACCGACAGGAAGGTTCCTGTAACAGCGGGTATGCAAATGGCCGGGCAATGCGTCTTTACAGACATGCACTGCAATCTCTAGCCTGGACGAGGTCTCTCGACCACGTGTGTACTAAGATTAAGAGCGCTCACTGGTTTTGCAAAGGGGATACAGTTGTTGATGCGATTCCACTTTGTGCAGAAGTCGTGATATCTTCTGGTGCACGGCATGCTCGGAAACGTTTCCGAACGCCTGTCGAACCTTTCCGAGCGTGACCGTGTACTTCAACATCGGCTTTCCAACCATTTCTTCGCATTCATATCTTGTGTAACTATCATGATCAGCGCGACGAAGCGCAGTGCGAAGTCAGCTCTTGGACGTCGTGTGCGTATTGCCACTGCTTCCCGATACATGAGCACCACGGCGCCACGCGTAGCAGTCCTATACCAAGAACTCGATCCGCCCTTGATCAACGGGGTGCGCAAGCCCAAGAAGCCCGGAGGTACTCAGTCTTGCTCCATACACAAACCCATCCCGCACCGTTAACGACCTTACCAAGGATACATCGACTCCAGCGCCGACATCGCACACGCACTAACCCACCAACACCACAGCCCCATCACCGTGGTCACGCCCGTCTCTCCCACAGACCCGCGCTCGGATGCAGACTGGTGTTTTGGAGATACAGAGACTGGGATTACGCGTGCGCTGGAGAAGGGGGCGACGCACTTGTGGGCTAACACTATACTCTTCGCGAAGCATCCCTTACAGATGGCAGATAGTCTAACAAGTGTAGCTGAGACGTTGAAGGTTGTAGGACAGCCTCCGAAGCTAGTCGAGCTGTGCGATGACAAAGCGTTTGTCAACAATCTCCTCCGTGCTCGGAGTGGGTTTACGCTGCCGTCTTCACACGACGTTCACGACCACGAAAGTCTTGCGGCAGTGCTCCGGACGGATCTTCGCTATCCTGTTGTCGGTAAGCCGGTTAGAGGACGAGGAAGCCACGGAGTGAGAGTATGTCTTTCCGAAGATGAACTGATCGAACATTGCCGCGATTTACTGGGAGAGGATGCGTACGTGATCGTCGAAGACTTTCTTGCGGGTCAGGAAGTCACTGTTACTGTTATGCCGCCTGCGCCTGCGACGGGACGGGAGGGGTATTGGGCGATGCCGGTTGTGGAACGGTTCAATCACGCTGAAGGTGGGTTCGCCGCGTGGACTTGGAAGAGCGTCTGTAATGGCCACTGACTGCTCACAGGTGTTGCACCGTACAACGGCACAGTCGCTGTTTCCCAGAACTCTCGATGTCTTTCGGAGAAGGAACACGCATCCGATCCAGAGTATGGTGAGGTACAGCGACAGTGTGTTGAGGTGGCGAAGCTGCTTCAATGTACTGCTCCTATTCGAGTTGACGCTCGTCGGTTCACGGAGGATAGATCGTCACCGTTCGCTCTTTTTGATGTCAACATGAAACCGGTAGGTTCATTGAGACCTGCCGTTGATAACATGGCTAAACTGGAGACAGAACATGACAGGTCCTGGTAGGCCTGGTAGAGAGAACCAAGCTAGCCTGACGGCACTGGCTGCTGCTGGTTTGGGATGGGACTATCCGACTCTGCTGTTGAAGATCCTTGAGTCGAGCAGTTCGCTGCATGATCTGAGAAACGCTACACTGTCGCATGTCAATGGCAAGTGATTTGGGTAAGAGGCAGAGTGGAAACTAGAAGTCCAGTCCGCAAAGTGACAACTTAGACTCTTGCCCATCTAATATCGTTGCTGGACTTTTGGCTTGTGCATAGAAGATAACGGGCTAATCGTCCAATTGTATTACACGATGACTATAGTTTCCAGAGCTGCATCATCGGGGAATAGCTTCTCATACCATAGGTGGGGACCAGTAGGCCGGACAAACATCCACGGCACAGGAGTATCTCCGTCCTTGAGCACAGAATAGTGAGTCCCAGCCATGTATCCAATACAACTATACACAGTAGAGGAACCGCAAAAGCCTTCATCATCTACTGCCGGTACAGGTGCGACGATCAGAGCGTTGAAGTCGCAAACGAGCTGTTCGCTGTTATGCTCCGCCCGAAGCGGAACCACCGTATACATCCTGTTCACCGTTGTTGAGTAGTCTTGCTGTTCGTCCCAGGTTATCGTTACGTCCACCCTATGAGATTTTCCAAACTGAGACATACTATGGGGTCGAGCGCGGAGCTTCAGGGCCCCCCTCTTCAGATTGCCGTAGGGGTTGCCGGCCTGAGCTAGCAACAATGACACATCTTCTAATTCGGCAAGATTCTGTAATGGCTCTCGAGAGGCATAAAAATCGTATTCAACTCGACCGGGGACCGATGCCCAGCTCCAAGAGGGCGCATCAGCGAGGTACGATGCTCTTGAAGTGACAGAACACGGCTCTTCTCGAGAGCGCCAGGAGAGGCATTGCAACAGGTGTGCCTCCCAAATGCCCGCAAAATATCGCTCCCCGAATTGCTCTCGTGGTACAGACTTCGCGATAGATGATAGCGCGATCAGGCGGTCTGTGTGATTCGTGAATAATGACTTTGAATAGAATTCGATGAAAGAGAGCCAATTTCCGAAGGTCATGTGGGAAGCATGATGTCGTCCTTCAGGGAGGCTATCGAGGAATGGAGTTATATCCAAGTCGGATTCCATACACTCCCGGAAAACACCTTCCTTAGTGAAATGTAGTAATCTTCGCGAGAGGAGGCGTTCCTGTGCGACCCAGCCTCGTCTGTTCAAAGTGGAACGAATGACTGAGAAGCGAAACGCCGAGTTCTGGGGATGAAGGTACGAAGAAACTCTGGTTCCATCTCCGAGTTGTTGAAGGAGGTCACACGGTTTCATGCAGTCAATACCAACTTTGTGTAGAAAACCGTCGTTGGGATCCCTAGAGCAGGTAGCAGAAATAGTGCACATAGCGTTTTGATAAACAAGCCACATACGCGGTCCTTCTACGTTCCAGTCAGCATGATTCCCATGTGCGCTTGGTTGAACTATGCACAAGGCGTCAATCCAGATGAAACGCACTCCTAGGCCTCGTGCAACGATAACCGCATCTTGAAAGGTCTGAGGCATGCTGGCAAAAGACAATACTCGGTTCCCGGTAAATTCCTCTCGCAGCATGCAGTCCGGTGGCCCTTTGCCCCAGCGATAGCTTAACGTACAGTAGTTAGAAAGCTCGTCGATCGTGGCGTATGCCGCAGCAATCCATAATTGGACGTCAATTGTGACGATTTCATTCTCATGACTAAGGTCCAGTAAGCGACGTGGTAGTGAAGATGCCTTGCGAGATGGATCCAAGTTCACTGGCTTACAGCCAACATGTGTCTCGTTTTCGCTGAGCGCACAATCTTGGAAAAGCTGACAAGCGCGCAAGACTGGGTCATCATCGGATGCGAAAGACGAGAATGGGTCAACGGCAGCGCCGGGGCTGATGTAAAATTGGATGGTGTTGATGTCAGGGTGCAAACGTAACGAGAGTTGTGTCTCTATAGACTTGTGGGGCCAGTGGTTGCAAATCAGAGATATCTTGTTGTGGTGTTCCTGAAGCACGAACGTGCCTCTCATATGGGCCATAGAGGCCTTTCCTAGGTATTTTCGGAAGAAGCAACACACATCGCAACCAGTTTCAGCGCTTTCAATCAGTTCGGGTCCAGAAATCCATTTTCGAAGTTCTTGGAGGATTCTTTGCCCGTCGCAGTTCGGGACTACAATTTTACTGCACTCAGCACACCGAGGCATCGTGAACGCTCCTGAAAGATTGAGATTCGACAGAGCTAGGAACCATAAGCGTCGTGAGAAGACTGAAGACCAGAGGCACGCAGTCCCGGGACACAAGGAAAGCACCGACAAGGTCGCGAGCGGATTGTGATGGATTACTTCAGGATTCGACGGCGAAGAGGTCAACGTAGAAGGCTGTTGCCGCAAAGACGACGTAACGATCCGCAAAGACGGCGTAACGATCCCCAAAGTCGAAGTCGACAAAGATGTGAGTAATGAACAGCGCGCCAGCGACAGTGATGGAAGGCGATGAGGACACCCATCCTCACTTGTCTGCGGGGTACACCTGCTGTGCCACCATCATGCAGAACGCGCCAAACCTGCCTAAACGCGGTTCATGACATCCAATTACATCTGAGATTGCCGCCATCAAATGCAGTCGTATCGAAGAAAGTGCGATTCGGTATTGACTCGCTGCGGGTTACCAGCTCTTGCGAGGGGGTGGTGGTAGTGGTGTCGGTGAACGAGGACAGGATCCAAGGCGCGGCTGCCTCGCTGACGCTTGTTTGGCCGCAGCACCTGCCAAGCATTGACATGACATAGCACAGATTGGAAGACGAGGTGGCGAGCTAGCGCGATCGATCTGAACATCGTACATCTTGTAGATGTCGTCCCTTTTTCTGGCTGTCCAATCTCAATCACACTGACGTACACACACCTACAAGCGGACAAAGCCATGAAGATAGTAATATATGTCTCTTACTACTCACTAATCTGATATGCCATATCGTACAGTACCACTGGTATCGATGCCAAGAATTCCATTCCTCCCCTGTCTCTCAACCATCCCCCCAAATAATCATAATACGCCAGAGAAATGCTCAAACCCCCCAATCAACCAGAAACGCCCATGCCCATCTCGGCAGCCACCCTGTCTTCATCCCCATAAGCCACAGGTTCAGCCGCAGCACCCCACCTCTCACGCACACGCATCTTGACAGCGAAGCTCTCGAACTGCCACGTATTGTCCCGCTCATCGAGTGTTTGTTGAAACCGTGTGCCAGTACATGTACCAATGGCGTAAATCCCGTCGTGCGCTTTTCGGTTATTACAACCGTAGCAGACCTATCGTCTACGGTAGATATCCGCGTCTCTTTCTCTGTTATCCCTGTTGTCGCGTCTTTGGTCTCTGCGGTCTGGACTGCGCGATCGTGTGCGTCCGTCTCTTCGTTCCCTCGCGAAACCTCTCGCGTCATTCCGATCGGGTCGATCTCTGTACGCGCGGTTGCGGTCTGAGCGGTCATCTGTGTAGCCTTCTCTCGAGTTGCCGGAGTCGCGCGAGCCGCGGCGGGGTCGATCGTCTGGTTCGCGGGAGCGGCGTGGGCCTTCTGCGCCGTAGCTGGGTATATAGGTGTCGCCGCCGGCGGTAGCTGGCGGTTGTCTTCGGCGGTCTGCGCCATCGGGGCCGTAGCGGGGGACGGGTGGGAGGGGGTGACGGCCGTCTGCGGGAGGTGGTGGGAGACCGCTGTGGCCTCTGTCTGCGCCGTTGCCCCAGTTCGGTCGGCGGTCTCCACCTGGTGGTGGGGGTGGAGGTCGGTGTTCGTAGCGGCGGTCGTAGCCTCCTCTTTGGCCTCTGTCGACGCCTGGTGGGCCGCGGTCTTGTGGGCCGCCGTATCTTCGGTCGCCGTTCTGCCATGATTGTGGTGGTGGTCCTTGGCCGGTCCATTCGCCGTTTGGTCCGCCGCCTACTGTGCCGCCTTGTGGTGCTGGTGGTAGTGCTTGCTTTTGGCCTCGCGCGTTCCGTCGATCTAGCTCGTGTGAGTCTGCGAAGGTGGGAATGTCCTCCTCGCGCATGGGAAGTGGCTGTTCTCGGAAGTATGGGTGGTCGATGGCGTCGATGGCGTTGATTCGTTTCCGCCAGTCGAGTCTCATGAGGTCTTTGATGAGCGATAGTCCGACGGGCGAGAGCTCGCGGAACCGTTGAGCGATGGTACCGGTGTGAACGGGGAATGCGCGTATGGGTTCGGCGCCAGGGAGATCGCGCCACCCCGGCATGCTGTCGTCATTTGGTGACCCGACCAGCTCGAAGATGATCTGTGCTTGGTGAATGTCGCTCTGTCCTGCGAGGATGGGCTTGCGCTTGAACATCTCTCCAAACACACAACCCGCACCCCACATGTCGATAGCCGGCGTGTATTTCCTGAGCTGCAGAAGAAGCTCCGGAGGCCGATACCATCTAGTCACAACCAATGTAGTGTATTCGCGCTTGGCTTCGCCGTTGCCCCTGCCTCGTTGTGGTACCGCCTCGTCGTAGTGTCGTGCGAGACCGAAATCGGCTATTTGTAGCCGTCCGCGGTTGTTGATAAGAAGATTGGCGGCCTTCATATCTCGATGTAGGATGTGGTTATCGTGGAGGTATCGCAGGCCCTTGAACAGCTGCAGCATGTAGCACTTGATCTGCGCCTCCTTGAACTGGACTTCGGGGTTGTCGAGAAGACCTGATAGATCGTGATCGGCGTAGGGGGTGACCATGTACAGGATGGCGCGTTTCCTGCCCTCGGTCTTTGGTCGTTCCACGGCCATCTCTTCCAACTTGAGGACGTTGTCGTGCGATAGCATCTTGAGCAGCTTGATTTCTCGTAGCGCCGTAATAGGGAAGCCATCCTTTTCGTTATGCATCAAGATCTTCTTCAGCGCAAAGATGCTGCCAGTAGCCTTTTGTCGCGCCATGTGGACTTCACCAAAAGTGCCCTCTCCAAGCTTCTTCATCATTTCGTATTCGCCGATCTTGCTGCATCCTTTGAAGCGTCGCTGCAGGGTCTGCGATGGCGTCGCGCCTGCCGAGTTCGCCATGTCGGCGGCGGTGGTGGTGGCTTGGGTTCGCGATGGAATGTTCGCGGCTACGCTTTGTACCGGCTGCTAGTGGTCCTCGGCGCAGATGTCCGCAGGAGAGTCGGGCTATTTCTCGATGCCGGTGGCGTGGTGTAGCGAGGTTTACGTGGTCGCGGTGGCATGCGCTGCCATGGATGGGAGTTAGGAGGCAGAAGCTATTGTGTGGGCATGATGAGAGGCGAAGACATTATCGTAGGTGAAGGAGCAAAGAACGCGATCCACGGTTGATGGCACTGGCTTGGCGCCGCACGCTAGCGTAGCCTCCGATCGACCTTAACCACACGTCCATCACGAAAGACGTCAACAGGCCATTGCACCCCATAGCAACCAGGTACGATCCTTTACTACCATCGGAAGACGTCTCACGATACTGATACTTCTTCAGGCTCCCAGTCATCATGCAACCCACACGAGCCCGCATGGGTCCGCCCAAATATGCGCCGCACCCGAACCACCCCATCCACATCCACCCGGTCCGACCGCTATACCGATTCATGGCTACCGGCCTCGGCGCATCGATGTGGTTCTTCGTACGTGAAGCGACCAGGTTGAAGGTGGCATAGCGCTAACAATGGCAGTTGATGTACCGCGCGAAGAAGGACGGACCCGCGCTTCTCGGCTGGAAGCACCCTTGGGATCACTGAGCATTTGATGAGCATCCAGAGGGGTGTGGATGACATGACAAGCAATGGGGTCGATACCGGGCACAGCGATTGTACATACTACGGATGATGCAGGACGCAAACACCTAGACGGAGGGCTGTGATATCTCGCGCAGAGAGCGCCAAGAAATTCGAACTCCAAGAAGATCATGCCAATCGTACCACTGTCATGAATAAGTGCTCATACTGGTGACCCTAAGATGAGCATATGCAGACGGTTCAGCAAAACATTGTAAGATCTACTTCGGCTGCAGCTCACGTTGCGCCGGTGCCAAGCAGTTTTGCACTTTCACTACCACGAAGACCTGCCACAATAGCTACAATAGCAGCTGACCCGCAACGCGCTTTGCTGACAGTCTTGGCGACTCGAACAATGCTTTAACCCGCGCCGCCTCTGACGCTGTGAACTACCATCGCCCCTCTGCTACCCAGCTCAACACCACTGGCACAGACACACTTCTTGCACCCACGCTCCCTGAACCGTCAGCACTTCCATCGGTTGATTTCCTCCATCACAGACTTTCATCCGCTGTGCACTTCACAGTCTTCGCTAGACAAATCGCTCCCCACTGGTCCTCTGTCGCCACCCCTTATTATAGACGCGTATACAGTCCACTAACATCACCCTCGAGCACAGACTAGTCCACCGCAGTCTTGTAAGGGCTCTGACATTAACTCAATGGGTCAAGACTAACATCACAAAGGCCATGGACTCTGCTACCATGTTCGCCACCGGCGCATCGTATGGCTCGTCTATGGTTGGTATCGTGTCCTGACCGCTAGACTCGTGATTAACATCTCATAGCCTGCACAACCCCCAGCGAGCCATGATCTCGCGCACGTCAAAGCAGCGCTCAGCGGCTTCACCGACCTCGCCATCGACAAGAACATTGAGCGCACCACCGTCATATACGTCGTTGGCTCTACTCTTCCCAAGCAAGTCCGCAAGCAAGGCGTCAAAGACATTGGTTCATCCCTGAACAGCATCTTCCGCATGGAGAGGATTTTCTACAACGACAACGAGGCTTTGGACTCGCTTGAGGGCATACTAAGCAAAGCCATCGACTACCACATCACCGCCACGGACATCGCGATCACCGACGATCGGTACAAGGAGTTAACCGCTGCTATCAAGTTCGAGCTTGAACATATATCAGACAAGCAGGACTTTTTCGCTTTAATCAGCCGTTTCGTCTCCAAGGTCAGTGATTGCTCGGGGGTGCCTGTGCCCGCAGCCATCCTCGCTGCCAAGCGGAATGCGATTTCGGGCTCGGTCGCTGGGCACATGCAGAGCACCACGCTTCCGATGAAAACTGGCTTAAACCGGGATGACAGCCATGAGGGCAATACAGCCACTGCAGCTGAATCGGACGACATGGACTACGACTTCGATGGTGCTCCAGATGTCCAGACCGATCACGCTCCAGGATCCGCAAACTCTCCTTTCCTTGGCGCTGTCTTCACATTCCAGCCTGGTAATGCATCCCCGGAGTCGACTTCGCCTGCACACACGAAGTTAGCGCCAAGGCAAGGGGATCACGGCTACCTCGACGGAATCTCTTACGAGCTCCGCCTAAAAGGGCTGGAGTTCCTCCATAACGAGGTGGAAAGGATGCACTGCGAATTAAGCCCCTTCCAGGGCATGCTGCTCGATCAGGACGGGCTTTACGAGCTGATGCATAGTCTGGATGCCAAGGTCCTCCATGACATACACATGGAAGTATCATCTCGTTCTACTCCGCCGTCAGACACGTGGCTTGATGAGAAATACAAAGACGGTGTACAGACAGAGCTCATCGCTCTGGGCGAAGCAAGCCACTTCCTAGCAAGAGCAAAAGAGGTCTTGTACTCCAGAGACGTCGAGATGGCCGACATATCAGCTCACGATAGCTGGGCCGATCCAACGCTCAACCAAGAAGAATTCGACGCCCTCAATCCTCTCAAAGCCCCGCCTTCGCTTCAAGCCTTATCAGTCGACAAGCGCCGACACTTTCTCTGCCGTATGCTACGCAAAGCGAAGCGCATGAACGACAAAGCAAGATCAGCGCAGAAAGAGCGGTTACAACGTTCAGAAATGATGGATATGGTGCATCAAGACGAACTCGCAGTCCTTGACCGCATCGACTCCGCAATGCAGGGCTCAATCTTCAAGCGAGATGATGCGGCAATCGAAAGAGCGTACGATAGCCAATCTGAGTCTGAACTCCGTGATTGCGGCAGACTCAACTCATTCGTAAACAAAGTGAAGGGCTACCATCGGCGTCTGAGGAACTTTGTCTCGGCTGCGAAGGGCCATGTCGTCGACGCTTTCGGATTGCGTGACAACAGCGGCGCAGCTCATACTGCTGATGCACAGCACCCTTCTTCCCCTCCTCCACCAGTCCAAGACATCAAGGGCTCATTCATCTCCGCCCTTACAGATGCCATCAAAGCCATGAACTCCAGTGTGAGTGCCACACACAATTTTGACCAACTCCTTCTCCAGCCAGCCGAGGTAGCCGATCTCGTATCTAGACTGGAAGCTCGCATGGCGAGCGATCTTGGACAAAAGTACATCGGCACGCCTTTGACATATCAGGAGCAAGAGACTCGATATGCTCAAGCTGCGAACCACTTTCTACAGTGGATACAGACTACTCATTGCTTTGGTGAGACGGTCAGGGAGTATCGTCAGTTGACATCTTGAGGGGATGTTTAGTAACGGTGCAATTACGATGGAAAACCCGTCGATCTTGCGTTTCTATGATGAACCTATACTAAATCGCAAAACCGGCAGCTCATCACCTCGTCCACTTCCTACACCATCAGCATCCCTTCACCTCACACCTTCAATCCCGACATACCCTTCTCAATATCCCTCTCCATCTTCCCCATCTCCACCATCACCTTCGCCCTTCCCGCAAAATCCTCCAACCCCTTCGGTGTCGCATTCGGCCCAACTTTTGCCACAGCCTTTAGGTACTCCATCTTCTGCTCCCTCATATCCTCATCATCCCAATTATCTCCCTGCATTTTAGCGTTAACCATATCCGCCGCCTCGTGCTCCATCTTCCTCGCCAGAGTGAGGAGTTGCGGTAGAGAAAGCTCAGTGAAGTCATCCCAAAAGGGAGCCACACCCGCATCCATGCATGCGGCTAGTAGCTTTACTTCCATGCCACGAGCTAGTTTGGGGATCTTGACGTTGAGGTCCATGAGGGTTTGGAAGAAATCGGTGATTGTCTCTGCGCGGGTTTGGTCCATGGTGAGCGGATTTGATGGGGTGTGAAGGCAAGTTTGAGTCAAGGCAAACTCTTGTGCTTACTTTTCTTCCGAGGTGAAGAGGGGAAGAGGTGAATTGGTGGGGTGATTACTGGAACCAGGTTTCCTCGCTTTATGAACGGTGGTACTTTGTTGCTGTGGAATGACTACAGGTATATGCATTGTTCAGTCACTATGTTGCCGCTACTCAGTGGTAGTCATCGGCGCTTTCTGCTCCACCATTGTGACAACGTGGTAATGTATCCGAATGAAAGCTATTAGCTCTGTGCTGTGACAAGAAGGCAATGAAAGTTGGGTGGAGGCCGCTGATGATATGGCAAAGCAGCCGTGGGTATATGATGTAATGTAGCTTTCTTACTAATGTCATGGTATTCTTTCATCATCAACGCGTACTTCCTCATAGTCGCCTAGCGCTTGCTAGATGGTATCCTGCATGCGACATTAAATCCTCCACTGCTCATACTGGTAGGCAAACGTGGCTTTTCCTGAGTTCCCCTATCGCAAACCGTTTGACCTTACGCAGGTCTATGCCTCCAGTAGAGAGGCCGACGCCTCAATCCATACACCACAGAAATTACTTAAAGCTCGCAACCAATACTTTGCTCTACACATCGACAACGATACAGCAGTGAGAATTTATCGTAGTAACATTACTCTTCGTATATTTTCGCATGATACACGTATACACCATGAGAGGATATAGCAACCTTTCCACATCATCCCAATACACACCTGAACGCACAAGACCTTCCGCCTATATAGCATTCACTTCAGCTGCAACAGATGCCATAGCTGCCTCTCCACGGACCATGAACGGGCAGCGCCACAGTCATTCACCAAGCGAAGGGAATCATCACATGATGGATCCAGCGACTCCCTGGGAGGTTATAAACGCAGGCCAGCCGCCTGATGAAAGACCTTAACGCCCACCGACCTGCTCAACCACTTCAATCAGACTCTTGTAACTTTCAACCTTCTCATCAAAGTCCTTTCCAGCGGAGCGCGCTCGGCACGATCTTTCACTTCAATTCCACAACCACCAGCACACACCACCACAAGACATCAAGAGCTTTACAATGTCTTCTTTGTCCAGCCGCCAGACAATCAGTTCCGCTGTGCTTCTACAGAGAATCGGAGACACAGTCGCGCGCGGTGTCACAGGGCTTGCGACCAAGGCTGACATTGACGAGGTCAACACTAGGCTGTCAAGGATAGAGTCCTTGCTTACCCAAGCGCTGCAAGATCGAGCACCTACGCACCCTGCTGCATCATATCAGGAAACTCAAACGGCTCCAAATGGTATAGAAGTCGGCGAAGATTCTTCACCCAAAGTTCGAGCTGAAACGCAGACTGACGTAGAGCACTCCGTCGTCCTGACTTATAGAGCTCGTTGCTAACCAGATCTAGTCTGTTAAACCTCCAAGAGTTGTGCAAGAGGCCTACGTAAAGTATTTTGCCACCGTGTCGGAAGGGCAAGATGTACCGGTTAGTTAGGCTCCGTAGTCTTTCTGACTCGTACGTTAGTAACAACTTCAGCTTCCTCACCAGCCTCCCGCCACTACATCCGTTAGCGAACTGCCAACCCAAGCAACAGCTATCGATACCGCCTCGACCACAGCTGTGCTGTCATCAACGCCAGAAGAGCCGAGCGCGCCTACGCTGAACGAAGAGACGATCTCCGCCCGTTCCGTTGCTCAAGCTGAAGAAGACACACTATCGGATGAGGAGTTGAGGGCACTTCGACCGCTTCGTCAACAATCGACACGTCTTCTCTGCATCAATGAAGACTTTCGCTTTAAGACTCTAGTCGGCTTATACTACGCTCTCAAGTCGAGGAACCCAGCTCAATCGTCATCCCGGACCCGCCTCCCCGAGAGCCAGCTGATCAGCATGGCGCGCTATGCAGAATTCGACATTCTTCGAGCCATAGATCGAAGGCTCATAAGGAGGCAATTGGCCTCGGTCCCATCTCTTATACTCAATGAGTACTCAACTGGTCGGCAGATGATGTGGAGCAGCTTCATATATAGCAGCAACTTCTCCGCGCTGATCCATAGATATCAGCGGTCCGTGCGTGATATTCTGAGGCAGAGTAGACGAGTCACTCGGTCGCAGTCTCCTCAGCAGATAGGAGCTTTCGTCACCGTTCCTCGTGGCCGGGCTGGATACCGCTATCGATCCGCGTCGAGGTCTGCGAGCGCGGATTATGGCGGTCAGGCACCAGTGACTGGTTTGGATCAGGACATGCACCAGGCGGCAAGTAACAGTGACTTCTCTTTCCCGAGCGCTCCTACACGGATTTCCTCCTCGATGGCACCTGGTTCGCTCGTGGCGTATAGCGATATGCTTATGGACGCTGATTTGGCACTTCTCAAAGAACCCACGTCGGCCAAGCCATACAACATCAAGCTCGCCAACGAACTTCGCGGCCACACTCTCGTCGGGTTTTACGACAAGCTCGTGGAGGCCAACACCTTGATTTCCCACCTCAAGCACGACGAAGACCTCCAGCATGCGCTCGTTGAAGCCTACCAAGTTATGGGCACAGCACCGTTCTGGAATGACTTCATGCCGCTTGAGACCCAGGAGCTGTTCAGGCTAGCGAAGCAAATCGAAGACGAAGTTCTGGGCCGTCTGCTGATGGGCGTACGGAGTAAGAAGCTCGAGGTTTCTCACGAAAACGAGTACATCCGACTAACGGCGAGGTATGGTCCGAGAACCGATGCAATGGGCCTGAGGGAGTTCGCAGCTTTGGCTGCGAAGATTCTCGATCCGATGGAGGTATAGGGTCTGAGGGTGCAGAGTCTCTTCCTCGGATGCGCGGCACGCTACTGAGGTAGCGTCAGCGCCGCAAACTCTAAGGCAGACCTGTTACCCAGGCGGAGGGGTAGGATGGCGCGAGGAGGAGAGGAATGGATCGAGTTGTACATTGCTAGCCATAGCGAGAAGAAAACCATTCAACAAGTGAATGGTGGAGCCCTCGGGTTCGATGCAAGAGTGGGGTTTGGCGAAATTACGACGCGACGACGAGATTGGCGAGAAGGAGAGTATGCATGTTCGAGATGGCGGGACTTAAAGCGCGTGGTGCGCAGAAGTACCAGAAACGATTTGTAAGAAAACATATCCAGACAATTGATGAGGCTATGCAGAACAACCGAAGTAGAGAAGCCGTATGACAGTCTGCCAAGCGCAGGCGTTCGCACATACCGCTATGAGGAGACATGACTTGAGTAATTGCGATGAGATTCAATACAGTCTAGTCCCACGAACATGCGTTCCAATAGTGCAATGTGTGAGGCGCGTCAATAAAAAGAACCAGGAAGTCGCGTCGGACCAACGCGCACCACAGTAGTCGCGCTATGACGTATGCCAACCCAAGCGACCATCCTCAACATCTTCCTTCTTCAACCGCACGATAACATTGGCATTGGTTTTGTTGCCTGTTGATCCAATCTCTATCATCAAAAAGCGTTCGAGTAACATTACCCCACAACATGACGCCAACTAAAAAACGCCTCGAAAAAGAGTACCACGGCCTGCGCAAAACCCCCGCGGACGGCTACCACGTCGAACTAAGACACGGCGACATCTTCGAATGGACAGGCACCCTCCACGGTCTCGATAACTCCCCCTACGAAGGCGGCACCTTCGCCTTCCACATCCAATTCACCGACGAATACCCAGAGGCACCACCTAAAGTCAACTTCACGACCAAGATCTACCATCCCAACGTTGATGGTAGGACCGGTGTTGTGAGTTGGAAGATGTTGGGAGAAGATTGGCATCACAATAATACGATGGAGAAGGTGCTGATGAGTTTAAGGACGCTGTTGGATCATCCTGAGTTGGAGAGCGCGGTCGAGGTGAAGATTGCGAACGAGTATGCGAATGAGAGGGGGAAGTTTGAGAAACATGCGAAGGAGTGGACGGGGAGGTGTGCGAAGGAAGGGGCTGCGTCGACTGGCTTTACGTAGAGGAAGAGGGTGTGGCCTTTTGTAGGTGAATGATGGGACGGAGGAGCTTATTTAGACACGCCTTTCTCGCGGAGAAGCGCATCTTCATGCGATTATTCTTATCAGTCGCGACATATCCGCAAGAACTCCGGAGGATGTCCATTTCGGTACTCATGCTGGTAGTGTATAATCCCTCTGATAGTATTATATACCCACAGAAAATATCTGAAGCTTACGCGATGAAAACTCCAAAACCGCTCCTGGGAGTCGTCTGATCAAAGATGTGAGAATCTTGTATTCATATACACGTTCCTCTGCGCCACATTCTTCCACTGATTCTGTAAACACAATTCTCTGTCAACTACCCCAATCTCACGCGGGATCTATGTCTTGTCGGCACCAGTCTACGGAAGGCTTCGCTCGGCCCAGACTTGGGTAACTACAGTTCTCAGCACTTGCGAGACGTGCTTTCTGCTGCATACAGGAGATCGTGTATGTATAATCGAGGCAACGTTTTTGAATCGGTAGATTAGGAAAGAGACTGGGAGGCAACGCCCGAAGACACGATATAGCCTGTCGTACGACCAGTTTCATATTCGCTTTCCGACAGCCGCAGCATCGCCAACCCTATAGCCAAATTTTAGCAAGTCCTGCTCTTCAATCTGGGCTTTCTTCTCAAGTAACTCCTCAACATCCCACGTCGCACCCAGCAACCGGCCATTCAACCACATCCGCTTCTCACTGCTCAACCACACGCAAAACGCGCCACCAAGACCAACATCATCTGTGAGATCTACAAAGTCAGCAAAAGAATACCACAATCATGCAGCGATGCACTCACAAGAACGGAAGCTGTCAGGCGTAGTCTTATCCGCCATCTCAGTATTTACAGCTCCAGGATGCACAGCAACCGCTAGTATGCCATCCGCACCGTACTGTTCCGACAAGAATTCGACAAGACGTGCCTGCGCAAATTTTGAGATGCAATACGCAGTGTTCGCAATGTGTCCGTTGGTGATGCATGCTGCAAAGGAGTTGATGGCGATAAACGTCTTCGCGCCATCACTCTCCTTTAGCAGCGGAACAAAATGATGCGCAACAAGATATGTGCCTTGTACATTTACGTCGAATACATCTTGGAAATCTTGCGGATTGCCTTGGTCGACTTTCAACACTACCGGTCCTGAGTACCCCGAATTGACGATCACAACGTCCAGCCTTTCCACTTCTTCTTTCACGTTCCTCGCAAGTTGCGCAACGCTTTCATTGGATGTTATATCGACTTCCAGGCTCTTGACCGATGTCGAAGAGTTAAGGGTTTGAGCTTGTTTTGCGACTGCTGCTAGCTCTTGGGCTGAAGATGACCTTGCTGCTAAGATGAGAGACGCGGCACCCGCTTGTGCATATGCGTATGCAATTCCGGCTCCAATGCCGCGAGATGCACCGATTATGAGGACGTTGAGCGGCTTTGGTAATTTGTTGGAAGCTGGGTCTAAGGCGGCGGTCGGTTTCTTATGTATAGTCTTTGTGAAGCCGCTGGCGAGCGTGGTATCCCTTGTCCGTTGCGACATGGTGTTATTCTAAGCGGATCAAGGAAAAGACATCGTGGAAGGTGTTCGCGGCTCGTTCTCGATATAAAGGTGCGCCTTATCTGGCCCAAAGAGGGTTGGTCAAAATGAGTCATTCTGAGCCGACGCGATACATTCCAGCCTTTGCCTATCTTCATTGTTTCTCGCGTTCACGTTATGCATCAAGCTGGCGATGAAGTAGCGAACCGGGAATCCGCGTGACATGAGATGAGATCTTGGTACGGTCGTAGATCTGGCAGCGACCCCGCCGACATCGCATCTTACTCAGCACAAGAAGCTTCCCAAAGCTTGGCAATACCTGAGTAACGCGCACTCTCACCCTGACAACACGATGCTGTTAGTAATTCAGCCTCCGGAATCACTAACAACGTCGGTGACGCCTTCGAAAGCGTAGATGGGCATATGACGCGAGGCGCTAATGTACCTAGCGCGATGGGCATGTGGGCCCAGCCCTTGACGCGTCTGGAACCACGATGGATACTCCTCTTTCGAGCAGACTTGACCCCCAACACTCCATCCCACCACTCTGCAAGCTCCGGGAACATCATGTACCAGTATGTTCTGCAGCAGCAAGCTTCAATTTATAAGCCCAAGTACGCCCTGTGGACGACCTCGGGACGAAAGCCATCCGTAAGCATTATTCGGATGCAGCTAGGCAATTGTAAGATACGCGAGCGAGACCTTTGACGACATTATGATTTGAAATGTAGTTCTTAGGAGCTTCGGGGTATAAATTATGAGGCGCCAGCCCCATCGGCAAGATCACTTCCCGCATACCACGTCGACGGCATCACACCCTGAGTACTTCAACATGACACGCACCCTTATCATCTTTGGCGCCGGACCTGGAATCGGCAACCACGTGGCTTCTGAATTCGCGTCTAAAGGCATTGAGCATGTCATCCTTCTGTCGCGCAACACAGAACGTCTCGAGAAGGAAGATGCGCCTTTTGTCAGCAAAAGCAACTCCTCCGTCAGAGTCGACACCCTGCGCATCGATCTTGCGGATACAAAGGCTATCCCGGATGTACTAAAGCAGCTAGACAGCATGACCGAAGGCGAGGACGTAGAAGTCGTCTTCTTCAACGCTGCTCGCGTAAAGCCAAGCGATGTCCTGGGTGTCAGCGTGGAGGAGATTGAGGAAGACTTTAAGGTAACAACTCCCTCTTCGACAACATTATATGGGAATAGACGCTAACGGAGATATGTAGACCACGAACCTAGCCCTCTACGTCATAGCACAGCACTACATCCCCAGACTCCAGAGCCTGGCCAAGACAAACTCGTCGCTCAAGCCCGTTCTTCTTGTTACGAACAGCCGCCTGCCGTGGGATCCTGTGCCGCAACTCCTTTCGCTGAGTCTGGTGAAGGCTTCGCAGAAGAATATGGTGGAGAGCTTTAATCGTGCGTTCAGTAATAGTGGTGTGCACATTGGGCTGGTTTATGTCGAGGGAGTTGTAGCGCCGGAGAATAGGGTGCTGAACCCCAAGACGATCGCTGAGAGGACTGTGAAGTTCTGGGAAGATGGAGAGGGAGTTGGCGTTCATATCAAGGAAGAGTAATAGTAGCATAGACAGCTAGCTAAATCAAAGAAATACTGTCATGCCCACTCAGGCGGCTCGCAAAATCTTCTTCAATCCTCACTCCATCATCATCACATCCTCATCACGCTTCCTTTCCTCTACCCACCCCTCCAATCCTTCCGGAAACATCCGCACCAACACCACAGTCTCTTCCATGAACCTGTTCTTCCGTCAGTCTCTCCGTACTCCATCAACTCAACCCACCAAGTCTATCAACTAACCTCCGTCTATTCCCAGGCTCCTTGGGAAAAAGCGCACAATCATGCAGACAACTCCTCCTACATACATCAGCACCAAAGCCACCAGCATACGCGAACCGTGAAGAAAGAAAGGGTGTGAAGAACGCACAAATGGTACAACATAATCCTCGCCTCAAAATCCTCTTCCGGGTAGGTAGCAGGTACATGCCGTAGATACTCGTCCCGCTGTTCCTTGTTGAGAGTCCTGAGATCATCTGTAATTCGAAGATCAGCTCTTCCCCTAGTATACCGCCCTAGAACGAACACCTTACATTCCGCATGCCCCCAAAAACAGCCCGGATCAAACACCACCACCTCGCCTCCCTCTCCAACGCCTACATTCCCCTCCCACACATCTCCATGACACAGTGACGGACTAATCTTCCTTCCGTCCATCTCCATAGGACGTAAAAGCCTAGGCAT